TGCTCTTTTTCTTTGGTGACTGACTTTCCATTGTCATCCTTCACTGGTTTAATTTGTGCCGAACTTTTGCCTTATAGGTGCGTAGTTGTTCGGTAGAGTGTTACGAGGTCTCCTTTGCCTGCAGCTTGTTCTACTTCACTTGACATGGCTTCATAATATTTTCTTTTGTCTTCCCTGGCACTCCTGGTACTCCAACCATGGCCTGCATTTCCCGTGATGTCATCCGACGACTTCCTCAAAGTATAACAATTCCTCTTCCATTTTCTCCTACATATTTGTTGAGCAGTCGGCTCCTGTCTGTTGCTTTGTTCCCAGACAGAGTTCCTTGTTGCTAACCTTTTCTGGTCAGCCGGCCGGCCATTCGATCTTCAGTATGGAGCCAGTGAAGGTGGCAGCTAATGAGGCAAGTCTGCAACTCGGTGGAAATCTCTTTGGTGACACGACGGGCAAGTTTATTACCCGCATAGAACAAGTGACTGACTTCGCATATACGTTGAATATCCGAATCTTGTTCTTTATGCTGAGGTGTTGTTGAAAATATTTCCAAAGCGGTTTCAAGTTGGTGAGTGCGTATCTTGTCCTTATTATCCTGGCTGGCTATCCTTGACGTCCTCAACCGTCTCGACCGCCTGTGGTTGAGATCGTGCTGTCTGGCCAGATAAGTGAAGATAGGAAGTAGTCTCCGTCAAGGCTTTCCCGTTGATGGTGATTGGTACTGGTTGTTGTTGTTGGTTTGTTACTTTCTCTATGTTCTGTTGGAGTCCCGTCTTCATCGACTACTTCTCCAGCCATTTTGTTTGTTTTCGCCTGCAACTATTCGAAATCGTGCGACATTAAACATAAATTGAGATCTAGAGTTTTATTAATGGTCCAGCGCACTCCTGTCACCTCGCTCTCAAAAGTCTGACGCAAAATCCAATCCACCACAATACAGAACATCATCGTTGATTAGAGTCAGCCTTGTCGAAGTGTTGCGTTAAAGGTGTTCTGTTTCTGCGTGAACCATCTTTCCATGTTCTTTTTGAAATTAGCCGCGTTCCTCACGATATCCACGAATCCTTATTGTATTCTGTTGTGGTGAGAGCAGGCTGCTAGCCGATTGGTTGGCACTAATCTACGTTAAGGTCTAGGTCACTAATATGGGCCGTGAGAAAATATGAACAAGCCTGAGTCAACAACCAATCACAGCGAAGTAAACGTGGCAAAATATGATTCGCAGATAGAGAACTCTGTTTGTCAAGGAATCCCGAAACAACCAATCAGAAGCCTGCGTTTGTCTACCTAAACAACCAATCAGATGACTGCGCTTGTCTATAATAATGTTGTCTGAAATATGTATAAATACGTGTTGATTTTCATAATAAAACGATCTGTTGCCTGGCCCTTGTCTTCTGTTGTTACACTGTCACCTGCAACTATATACAGTAATAATACAGAGAAGACCGGTAGTTTAGCCAACAGTTTCTTTTCGGCGAGTCCATTTTCACAGCTGTACATATGTACGTTCATTTGTATGGGGGTGTACGTTAAATTCGTCAAACGAAAGTAAGGTACGTATTACAAAAAGCATTCAGAGGAATCAGGCGTTGATATAAGAGGGTAGTATTAAAAGTGATGAGTTGTCACTAAAGATTGTCAAGGAAGAGTTACATAAGTGTGGATAGTTTGATGAAACAGCTGTGCTGAGTGTGTACATGGAGATAAAATAAAACACTGAATTACGTAAGAGTTTTAAGTAGCTAGAAAAGCAAGTTAACGAGCAAAAGTCAAATCAGCAGAGTTGTTACTATGATAGTAGAAGTGGCTGAATTGTTTTCTTTTGTATGTACAGTCCTGGTTCTTGCACGTGAATGGCCAGGGCTTCCGCAATGCAAAGAAGAAAGAAATGTATTGTCTTTGGCAGGTTGTTCTTCACTTTGTAGGATACTTTGAAGCAGGAGGCGTTTGTTGAGATGGAATGACCAGTGGTGACGAGATGTTCGATTATTGCACTCCTTATACGGCCACTACTTCCCTTCTGCGACCGGGCTGGATAGCGTTCTTTGACACTTTTTGACAGGATGCGCGTTGAACGACAGATATGCCTGGTTGGCTCTATAGCAAGAGGTAAAATGATATACACATAGAAGTTGTCACGTGTGAGATCTCGTCATTTGGGGTTCCGTAAGTCAGCGGGTACTGCAGAACCCTGCTCTCAGTTCCACTATGAAGAAAGTTATCCCTAATAATAATATAATATATTTATTCCTATCTATGCAGGACACTCCACTAGTAGGCTGAGGAAGTAGAAATTCTCCTCATAAGGACGTCACTTGGTAGGTCACCTTCGAAGTAGATGTTCATATAAAGTATATTTTCTGGCACGGATTGCGTCTCTTGCTTTTGGGTTTTCTGCTTGATGCTTTTGTCCATGAATCTTGGTGGATATCCGTTTTGTATGAAGATTTCTTCCGGGAAGTGTAGTTCTTCTTCCAGAGTGTCAGGGCTGCAGATGCGTCAGACCGGAGTAGCAAGATATTTAATCAGGTTTCTTTTTCGACTGATTGGTATCCAGCTGTAGAAGCTTGACAGCTGGCTATTCCATGGCGGTTTCACGTGGATGGACCTTCTTAAAGTTTCGTTAGCTATTCTTGTAAAATTCAGCATCAAAGAAAAGAATTTTAGATTCGTTTTCAATTTCAAGTGTGAGTTATGTAGCTGGATGGCAGTTGTTGAATATTTGCAGTAATTGATTAAGATCGTGGGCTTAATCACAGATAATAACTGCATAACGCTTCAGAAACCAATTTTATCACTTTGTGAATAACCATACCTGTCAGGTTGCATGGTTTCTAATCTTCAGACAGAAAAAACCAAAGACAACTCATCATATGTCGGATTGCGCTAGGTGAATCGAAGTATTGTGAAGAAGTATTTGCAGATTTCTAAGTGTTTAATGATTCTGTTGGTGTCGACAGTATGGGAACACAGAAACATATTCACGGAGCAACACGGGTTTCACGAGATGGACGTACCGAAAAGTCAGGTAGACTTCACCCTAATCTCAGGAATTTGGAGACAGCCTACCAGAGGTATGATCGAATACAGGAGCACATATAGGTCCAAACCATTGTCTGATGCACCTAACTCTCAAAATGGTGTTGAAAGCCTTCAGTGCACTGGAAATGGTGCAGAATTCAAACCTGACACTGAAGAATTGGAGGAAAAAGCTACGTAGAATATCTTCATGGCAGTCACTGGGTAGGCTTCGGAGGTACTGAGTTGTGGGAATCCACATTCATTTGAGAGTCAGCTAAATCTCGTTCAATAACCGCTTCATCCGCTAGGGCTCATGGAACACACTGGAAAATTATATTTTCAGTGGACTAGAATGTATTGCCCACATTCTGCCTAGTTGTTGTACCCTAATAATAGGTGTATATTCCTTTATTTTAGTACATCTTACAGTGGACATTTTTCACTCCGTTCATTCCAAGTGCTGCAAAAGACCTGAAGTTCTGATCTTCAAAGTTTTAGCATCATGTCCAATCTCTACTGTTTTCCCGGCTTGCCACTGAGTCGCAAACTAAGCGAGGCTTAATAGTGAGTCAGTCTTGAATCAAATCCAGACCTCGTTTATGACTGGTGAGCATTCTACTATTAGACTACCAACATACCTGTGACGCTGCCGAGCCTCACAGAAAAAATTTCAAGTATCACACAGATGTTCAATAAAATTGTTCTTCTTTATGTGATTGAAATGGAAAGAAGTCTAGAATATAATTCAGCTTCAAATATAGTTCGTAGGTTGTGGGAAAAATTTGATCCGTTGTGTCAGTGGCTGAATGGAAGAATTCTCGCTAGTTACGTAGCTGGTCGATGTTTTACTAGTGACCGAAGTGTTTCTAAGCTTCGCCCTAGTTAGCTAGTAGACAGTGGACCGGGAAGGTAGGGAAGAGTTTGCAAGAGGTCAGCAACTGCATACAGTGTGAAAGGACTACTCTGCGTCTGCTAAATATTCAAAATGCATGAAGCCCTACATTCTACTTGGGACGCAGGGAAATGAGAAAACAGCACATGGAACAGATGTAAGTATCACATAGGTTTCCTTCGCTAATCCGCGTGGCTACAAAGGAGGTCCCACCACCGGTTGGGGTGGATGGGGCTGAGGATTTCGCTATTCATTTAGCCAAAGCTAAGGTCTAGAATAATAGATGGCCCCACAGAAATTGAGGGCGTTATCCGTGGTTTGCGCCAACAAGGAAAGGATCTCGAGGTCGTCTGAGCCGAGTGACTGACTGCCCCTTAAAAATATATCACCGGGAAAACACGCTTGGAAGTACACTAAAACTTCCAGAAAGTGATTTGGTGTTATCAACGTCTCAGGCAAGAAGAGACAAAAGTGGTTATCTACGATAAAGAAAAGGATGATGCCAGATCAGAAGATGAGTCAGTGTTGAGATGAACAACGATAGAAGAGTCTGAATACAATGTAAAATGCACTGAACAAAGCCGTGAAGGATAGCGCTTGGGAGAAAAATAAGACACACTGGTAACCGAAGTGGAACCAGTTACAGGTACGAGCTTGTGTTGAACTCGAAGCAGTGAATAAGCTTCGGGGTTGAATAAGGGAAAAACTATGTCCAACATCCATGGTTTGCTTCCCTGGGTTGTGTTGGTAACGTGAGAGCTTCATTCTATAATCCTATATTTAACAGAAGTTGAGATGAGCCTGTTGACATCCACATGAAGTACCTGCATTTAATTCCGAAAAAGAATGATTAGTAAAATCGTTATTTATACCTTGAAAATTAGTTACAGGAGAATCTTGTTTTCCTTGAGTTGTTTGTTTGCTTCGACCTTGTGAGTATGGACTGTGTAAATTTGGTTTGAAACCGGTGGTGTGTGGGTGTGGATTTATTTATCTGGATGGTTGTATTTTCAGTCAATGATTATAAGTATTGAGAGTGTAAGAATAGACTCTTATTTCCTGAAAATATAATTTTTGATTAAACAATCCAATGCCTGCTGGAATGCGATTACCTCAAGGTAGGAAATAAATGGAGGAAACTGAGGCGTTACGTTTTCAAATAATGCAATGAAATTTATCGGCTATCTGGTCTATTTTGCTTTGGAACGTATGTTGCCTTTGATAAAAGCAGTAGTTGAAGATTAAAGCTCATGAAAGTCATTCGTTATCGGCAATATATCCTAAACTTGTAACGGTGTGATAAAGTGCTAAGGAACGCTGGCATAACCTATTTTCATTCCGGTCAGAGAACGTCAGCGTGACGCATTTGGGGGTGTTATCCGTATTCACTCCAGTCTTTCTGTATCGATTGTACCCTCAGATTGGGTTCCCGCACTGTACTCACACTCCTATCACTGTGTCCACTCAATTTCTCTTGTCATTCCAAGTATTATTTCAAAGTTAAGTGTCGCACGTATAACATCCAGAGTTCGCGAAGCCTGATTTTTCTTGTATTCTTAAATTAAGTGTAGTGTTTGTTTACATACCTTAGCTTCTACTGTGGAGTCCCTTGTGTATAAGTACTGTGGGTTAGCAGTCCATCCACTAATCTTTAGGCGTTAATAAATTATGGGATTTTCGGATTACAAGTGATTAGATACTTTGCAGTTTTATATATTTATGAATAACGATAATTTCTTGCAGGATGGTCACCAAATAAGCCGTTATGTTAATTTGTAATTATCTTTTAATGTACACTGTTTTACCGTCGTAAACGCCTTAATAACTCTAGATAATAAGCCACAAGATAAACGGAGATGTCACTCTGTGTTACGGTCACCACACGTCCGTATTATGGTCTGTTTGAAGTACGTCAGGTGTATTTAAAATAAATAGGGACAGTGTGGGTTCCACTACTGCAGTAAATAAGAAGTGTACTATAGATTTAATGTGAAATCAAGTTGAGTATCTTGGCCACACTTAGAGTGCAGTCATTCACGCTGGGATCCCACGGGTGTTTATTTATAAGAGGTGAAGGGATTACTGAAATTGTTGGTGTCATTAAGTGCGTCTGAACCTTATTTTGCAGCTAATACATATAAGTTTGAATAATATGACCACAAGAACAGGTAAACTAATACAAAACAACTGCGACTAGATGTACATTTCATTCCTCATCACATCAAAGAGATAAATGCTAGGCAGCGTCCAAATCTCTTTATTCGAAAACAGATAGAAAGCTGTAAAACCGTTCTGCTCATGTTTTTCTACAGGTAAATTTGACCCAGTCGAAGACCCCATACTTTACTGATTCGGGTCTTATATGGTAAGTTACAATGGACATGTATATTTTGAAGTACAGGCTTAATTACCGGTACTCATTGGATTCTAGGTTTCAGAAGTTACAATGTATAATTAGTAGTTGCTTATATTTTGATAAACTAGTTCACTCCACAATAAAAAACCGTAGTTTCTACCAATTTGTCGATTACAAAACCCTCATAAAAGGATTTATCTACCAAAATTCATTTCATTGAGGTGGGATACTTAGTTCTGACAGTTAGCGTCGTTAGTCTTTAGAAGTCATAAGTAAATTTCCTGGCAAACTATGCGGAATAACAGGACTGTAAGTCTGCCCTCAGGATGCGTGTAGAATGTACTTGCTCATTTAGAATCTCCATTAATTGTGCTCTTGACATTTTTTGAATTTAAACCTTAACCTCGGTGGTGCAGTCATTTGCAAGTGCCCTCTAATTATTTTTTCGTAAGTCTGAAATTTACTGCTAATGTATTTATTTGCAATGATGACGGAAAAACAATTTAGAAGTGGTTAGGATGTTGTGAGTTGCCTGTAGAGAATCCTTTGGATGACTAGTAACTTTGCCACGTTTCTTGGACATTTACACTAAACAATCAACGAATAGTCGTGGTATGAGCGTCTAATAGTTAATGGTTCCTACTAAGGCAGCCACTGGTTATAGTCTGAGCGAGGTAAATAAGTTTTATCAAAAGCTGTCTAATTTCCTACTTGGGGAACTCTTTGATATAGTCCTACTACTAGTCGGCTTTGATACTGAAGTAGGGAGACTGAATTAGTTGATAAATCATGGTTATAACTAAGGAGCATCAACAATAATCATTTCGTATAGTTTCATTCACTTAGTGATATGCCCAGTCAACATTAAGACAGATTTCTCTTTCAATTCTAGATATTAATAGGGAAGCAGTAACTAAGCGCTTTATCACCTCAGTTTAGTTGACAATTTGAAGTCTGTTTAGGATGGTAACTAAACCATTTCCTCGGTACTCTGGCAATACTCATTAGTAGTAATCTCCAGAAACTCAGACTTTTTATTGCAAACACACCTAAAATCAGCTTGTTAGAAGTACTTACTATACAGATGTAGTTCTTCTAGATCAAGGTGCTGATCAGGTGAAGTCTTCTCAAAGATCTACAGTGTATGGCTTGCCTCTTTATAATCAAAATTGATGTTACACAGCTGATTCACACTAAAATATGGTTTAACGGCAGAGTATGAAATGGTTAGACAATATCTCTTCGCTTATTTGAAAAGTTCTCCGCTGTCCTAGTTAACTGATCATCGGTGAGATCTTGGCAGAGCGACATAAGATGCATTTGACATCCTTCCTAATCAAGTTATGTATCGTGTATGTTAATTCTTTGTGGCCTAATTTATGAATGTAAGGTGTGTCGGCTAAAAGTTAAACTGCAGAGTTTAACCATAGGGGAGCCAGGTAGTTCATACTAGGTGAACTCATAGGGCAGGGTAAGGAGGTAAATCAATCAGTGACGTAGGTGGTGAATCTGCGCATCAAAAGCCAGTGCCTTCTTTTAAGAAAACTATAGTGAGATAAAGTTGAAATAAGTTCAGGAATAATTAGAGCATAACACATGGTATGAGTACTTGAAGCCGGTGACTATTGTTCTGTAGCATGCAGGGTGTTTTAACTTCACGCGGCTGGAATCATTGAGTTCTTAAAAATCACAATGGTTAGAACATTAATGATATAACTTAGAGTTGTTCAGAGTGGATTTACGTGTTTAGTGTTTACTGTTCTTGGAAATTCTTCGACAATCGACTGTTTTTTTCCTTCAGGTTCACCAGTGGAACATAAGGCTTCAAGCTAGTGGCTTGAAGTTTCTGTAGCAGTGTTTATTTTACAGGATGGGGTTGTTAGCCTCATGCCCAACCTTTTCTCTTTACCAGGCTTATTACTGACTTAACGAGATAAAGAGGAGTGCGTCGGCCGGGGATCGAAACTCGGACCATGTGCATGGTCGGCGAGCGTTCTAACCGCTATGCCATCGACGCACAATCGACTGTAGTATCATTGTTTCTATTCTGTTCTGTTCTTTTCTTCTGTGTGCTCTTTTTGAGATGTGGTAATCAAGATTCACCCATATCTATGCAAAATTCTACAGTACTTTTATGTCAGATTCAAATAGGTAGTTTCAACAAATAAATAGCATTTTGAGTCGTTATACTCGTGTTAATTCTTTGTGGAAAGCTAGGTATTTGACTAAACGAACTGTTGCCAGTAGGTACGAGACGCGTTTAATACAAAATAAACCCACAGACTGCAGTAAATGTCTATGAAATAACAGTAGTTTGTTCATAAAGTCATTATTGTCAGTCATAAAATCTCGTCTGTTAAATTTTCTCATCTTTTCCAGCGTCCAGCAAAATCCATTAGCACATCAATAACCTAGACTAACGGATGATATTTAATAGCGTCGGATACCTCTAATACTTCCCACGTTATTGGATATTGCTGTCGGAATCTAGTTATATAGATCGTATGCTTAACTCCTGATAGGTGGTAGTATAAAGGAAGAAGGCAGTAAGCATTCTCCTGTCTTGAGGAACTTGATCAACTTTTAGCATTTGATAGTGGGTCTACCATTTAGTCATCAAAGCTTACTTTGTGTTCTTACGTTGAAAGTGTTTTGGGGGTGAATCTGAACTCTTTGATGTTTTTTAGTTTGGTATGGAAATTATAACTAATATTAGACGGTAGACTGAAAGTACTCCTCATTGTTCGTAATTCGAAAAGCCTAGTTGATTCTTGGACCGCAGAGCCCAGGGGACAACTGCTTGACTGAGCTGGTTAGGACATGTGTTACGTATGCCTAGTCATCGCCTTCCTCGACGAGCAATGTTAGCGGATATAGGGTCAGGCTGGAAAAGAGCTAGTGGCGGTCAAACCAAAACATGGCCTCACCAGTCAATGAAATCTACAACAGTTAGTCTAAGCCACGTAGGAAGGTGTAGACTGCTGTCTTGTTGGGGTTCTAGGGACAGTAAAAACCAATGGTTGGAAACAATTGGTGACATGGCTGAAAATCGTTCTCAATGGCTGGCGCAGATGCATCCACTCCTTGTGACTTATGATTTCCAATGAAACTGTTTTGTTCTTCTTTATTACTATTCCTTTGTCTCACACCTGTGCTTACAGTCTCTATTATGCATTTCTTGTACTTTTTTCTCTTGATTTGTGTGCTACATGGAGGGAGTGTGGCGACTTGAACTGGTGCACATATGTGCAAAGTTCTATGTCGAAAACAGACAGACAGATAGTTGATTCTTGGTATTTTTGTATGAGGTTCTTTCAGAACTCAATGTTTGAACTAGGTACAATGTCTATCAGTTTTTGCTTCCAGTACAGTGCGCATACTGAGGCATATCATACTCCTTCCCACAAAGATATTGCGATCATGAACGTTGCAGTTGATTATGGAGTTGCGGTTTCTTTTTTTGTAGTGATTATGCTTGAATTGTTGTCTTTTGCTATCTGGTGATCGCGCTAAAATCACCAATTGGTATAAAAGTTAGAATTCATAAAGCAATGAGCCAGCTCCCAGTGACTGCGAATGATTTATGGGCGAGCGTGCCTTGTAACCGGAACGTCCTCGGTTCCAACTCTGGCAGTGAGTGTGTGTGCTGTTGATGAGGAGTTCCAAACTAGGACGAAACAGCTGTACAGTACTCCTCTGTTGGCTTTCCAACTAATATCAATCTGAGGTCATACTTGAAACTAATCAAATCCCTGTTAAATTAACTCTTCACACAATATATTGAATTATTCTGATTGTAGGACATGTTTAATCTTATGAATGCAAAGTGTGTAGTGCATCTACTCTGAAGGAATCTCAGACCTAGGTGCTACTATTCTCGTTAACCCAAGACAGTAGGAATTACAATGTCGACATCTAATCTCCTTTTTCTTTCTTTTTTAATCATGTTTATAATTTATTTTTAATCTTATATATATTCCTTTTTTTCTTCATTATAGGGCTATTGCCATCCATGGAATCAAGTGAGAAACAAACTTCCAGGTCTGGCAATGCCTGTAGCAATGGTAGTAATAATATTAACTGGGAAGAGGATCGGACCACCCCACATATCAATAAATCGGTCGGCAGGACTCAACGTATCAATGGTAAACGGGATTCATCGGTATTGGATGTGAGGAAAGAAAAAGCTCTTGAGAAGGTGATTTTTCTTTGAAGTCTGAAGTTGTTTTCTAGATATTTTTTCCTTTTTCTTTTTTAATGACTGATTGGTTTCAGCATAGAACTTTGAGCGGCGGTGCAACAGTTCGAGTTGTCACACTCCCTCCCTCCCTCCATATGGCGCACAAAGCAAGAGAAGAGAGTAAGGAGAGATTCGAAGGAGAGATAAGAAACAGAAGTGGGAGTAAGATGGCTATGACACTTGTTATTCATTCCGAGCCATCGCCTTCCTCAACTAGCGATGTTAGGTGACATAGGCCTCCCTGAATTGGATATAGACACAGGTCCTCCTTCCCTAACTGACGTTTCTAAAGCCGTCACCAATCTGAAACAAGGCAGAGCATCGGGACCTGATGGAATGACTCCAGAGGTATTTAAGTACGGTGGAGACAGTTTACTGTCTGCGTTAACTGAGGTATTAGACACCGTCTGGGAATCAGAGGAAGTCCCGTCGGGTTGGTGTAAGTTATTGGTTATCCCGATATACAAGAAGGGAGACAAGTCTTCCTATGATAATCACAGAGGGATTAGCTTGACTAATATAGTATCTAAAGTCTTAGGCTCAATAATCATGCGTAGACTGAGTGGTGCTCGGGAGGAACAAACACGAGAGAGCCAGGCAGGCTTTAGACCAGGAAGAGGGTGTATTGATCATATCTTCACCCTCCGACAGATTCTAGAACATGGGGAATCCTACCGGCGCCCAACAATCACTATATTCCTTGATGTAAAGGCTACATTCGATTATGCCGATCGAGAGGTTCTCTGGAGATGCTTGGCTGTAAAGGGAATGCCAAGAAAATATATTGCACTGATTAAGGCACTCTACTCGTACTCATACAGTCAGGTGAGGGCTTACGGTGGGTTGTCATCTGAACTGGTGACGACTAGTGGTGTCCGTCAAGGATGCCCATTATCCCCATTTCTATTCAACTTCATCATAGATGTATAGATGGACTTAATCCTAAGTGACTTCAGCGACTCAGGGATTGACTTGCTACCATAAGGGAATAATCTCGTTGACTTGGAATATGCAGACGATATAGTTCTTCTAGGCGAGGACGCTAACAAAATGCAGAGTCTTCTAAACACCTTGAGCTGCAATCTACGAATGTTTGGCATGCGATTCGCTCCCGCCAAATGTAAGATGATGTTACAGGACTGGACTACACGGGCTCCTAGATTAGAAATAGGGAGTGATGTGGTAGAGCACGTTGACCGCTTCACTTATTTGGGAAGTACCATCAGCCAGCGCCAACGGGTTGGTCTCTGATGAAATCTCAGCACGGATATGAAGGGCTAGTTTCGCACTTGTCAGTTTACGCCGTCTCTGGCGTAGACGAGGTATCCGACTATCGACCAAAGGGCGGGCGTACTGCTCATCAGTCCGCCCCGTCCTCCTTTATGGCTGTGAGACCTGGCCACTGAGAGTGGAAGACATGAAAAGATTATCTGTCTTTGATCGTAGTTGCCTGCCTTCTATCTCCCAAGTGAAGTGGTGTAATAAGGTGAGCAATATTGAGGTTAGGTGTCGGTCGAGTGCTAGGTAAACAGGGGAAATCAATCGACGAAGTTGTGAAGTTACACAGCCTGAGTGAGATGGTTAGGACATGTGTTACGTATGCCTAGTCATCGCCTTCCTCGACGAGCAATGTTAGCGGATATAGGGTCAGGCTGGAAAAGAGCTAGTGGCGGTCAAACCAAAACATGGCCTCACCAGTCAATGAAATCTACAACAGTTAGTCTAAGCCACGTAGGAAGGTGTAGACTGCTGTCTTGTTGGGGTTCTAGGGACAGTAAAAACCAATGGTTGGAAACAATTGGTGACATGGCTGAAAATCGTTCTCAATGGCTGGCGCAGATGCATCCACTCCTTGTGACTTATGATTTCCAATGAAACTGTTTTGTTCTTCGTTATTACTATTCCTTTGTCTCACACCTGTGCTTACAGTCTCTATTATGCATTTCTTGTACTTTTTTCTCTTGATTTGTGTGCTACATGGAGGGAGTGTGGCGACTTGAACTGGTGCACATATGTGCAAAGTTCTATGTCGAAAACAGATAGACAGACAAGTGACATAGGATCAGGCTGAAAAAAACAGCTAGTGGTGGTGGTCAAACCAAAAATTTTGAGCCATTTCATGAAATATTTGTCAATTATTTCTAAGCCACATTAAGAGTTGTAGACTCCTTGACTTGACTAGTTGGGGCTCTCAGAATGGTAAAATCCAAGGAAGACTGGAGAAAATTGGTAATGCAGGAAAAATATTTATTCAGACATCTATAAAAAACAAAATAATTGAGCAAAGAATATCCCCCTTTTTGATAATTTCCTCCTCTTCTGGCTCTACAATTACACATTTATGCTTATATACATAGAGTATTCTAGATTAGTAGTAGTCAATAACAATATTAGTGTTTTTTTAAATAATATCGAATTGTGAAGTAAGATCACGATGGAATTGTAGATCATTAAAGATGCTTGAATTATAATAATAATAAAAATATAATAGCAAATAGAATATCAAATAAAATTAAGAAAATCTCCACAGCAAGTTGAGGATCATTCGAACGTAAATGGTCAGTGGGGTAAGGAAGATATCTGAACTAGCTTCTTTCGGATACATAGATTTGGCTTCTTAACGTGGACCGCAACGGCCAGCCTCATCAGTATTTAGTAGTAGACGAACTCTTAAGGCGAAGTTAAGATTTGTTGGTTGGTATGCGGTATATGACTTTGAAAGCCGCCTGCCTCGTTGACATCAATCTTGTGTTGTGTATCCACGAGATAAGATAGAATAGCGCTATGAATAGATTTTGTTTGTCCTTTACTTGACCACGATGCAGGTTGGTGTTCGGAAATCCGACGAGAAACATGTTTGATTGTGCGACCGACCTGTGTAACTAACTGGCTTCATAGGAGCAGTTAAATTGGTAGGTATATAGCTGGTTTAAAATCGTTCTTAGTGATGGCTGGTGCAAATGCCATGCATTCACTTTTTGTGATTTATCATATCCATTCAACTCGCATGCTTTGTTTTTTATTTCTTTTCTTTTCTATGTGACTGTTCTTTGTTTTGAATCTCTCTCTCTTTTTTGTGTTCTACATGGAATTATTAGTATTATTTCCTTTAATTCTGAGAGGAACATAGGAATTCAGCCGAGCTTCTCCATTTCTTTCGGTTTTCTGATAACGTTTTCACCTGGGTCCAAGTCTGCCCACATGCTTTCACCTCCTCTTCACATGACCTCCTCCAAGTCACCCTTGCACTGACAACCAACTCGTCGCTTCCCTTTCGGCCGGGTTCCACTCGAGCAATGGCTTGTCTAGTGATGTCACTTGATGGTTCCCTCAGAGTATGCCTAATCCATCTCCATTTCTTCCTGCCTATTTGTTTCACAATTAGTTCCTGGTTGGTTTTCTCCCAGAGATCCCTCCCTGTTGCTGATGTTTTCTGGTCGGCCATCTGATCTTGAGTAGTATTGAGCGAAGACAGTTTTTGTTGGAGGTGTGTAGTTTGTTCGAAGTGGCCCTCATGACGCGCCAGGTCTCTGATCCGTATGGTGAGTAGCACTGACTTCAGATTGGAGTTGAAAATCTGAATCTTATTTTTCATCCTGAGTGCTGTTGACCTCCACACAAACTTGGTGAGAGTAATGAAAGCTTGTCTTGCTTTTCCGATCCTCGCTGCTTTGATATCATAGTCAGTTCCGCCGCCTGTACATGAAACTATACTTCCCAGGTAGGTAGGTAGGTAAAGGAGGTTGTTTCTCTCAGGTTCCTTCCATTTATGCTGACTGACTGTTGTCTGTTGTTGTTGCTGTTGCTTTTGACCAGGAATCTTCATCACCTCTGTTTTCTCTATGTTCACCTGAAGTTGTGTCTATCCTTGATGCTTCTTCTATCGCCAACTTGTTACTTTTCATTTGCATATCTTCCAGTTTGTAGGAAATCAGACATATATCATCGGCGAAGTTCAGATCCTTCAAGTTTTTTGTATAAGTCTATTTTATGCCTGTCTACATGGAAGTTGTTAGCAACGTTTTATCCGGTGCACTTCTGTACAAAGCTCTAGTTGAAACACTCAGTATATATATATATATATATATATATATATATAATCATTTAATTACTTCCTTATTAATTGAATAATGTAACGCAATGTGAAATTTTTTTATTGTTTTCCCCCTTTCTAACTTATTCAGACTAGACGTCAAGGTGGAGTTTACTGTTGTATTGATAGCTGTTCCAATGTTTACGGCCTAAAGTCAAGACAAGGTACACATACTGCTGTCTTCGCTATAAAAAGACAATACAGACGTCGTATTATTTCGAATGGATGTCCTGAAGTCACAACAGAGAATGGCTCTAGTGACAGTGCCGCTGCTGTTGCTGCTGGTGGTGACGGCGTCAGCGGCAACGGTATTGCTTCCCCTGCCACTAATCATAATCAACTAGTTCGTGTTAAACGGAAATATCATCGTTCTAATGCATTTTCAAAATTAGCTAACATCAGTGCAAAGAGGGCTTATACTCGTGGAAAATCAACCTCCAGTTTGACTAGTGCAATTTCCAGTCAAGATTTAATCAAAGAGTATCAAGGATTCATAGATAAGTTTGCGATTCCAACGCATTTGTATGCATATCTTGCTGAACGTCATCGTGAGCGTCGATTATATGCTTATCGTAATCTCAGTTATCTAATGCCTGCTGCTACTGGCAAACGGTCACCACCACGTAAGTGTCGAAGTTACCACCGTTATATGTATTCTTTTGGAACTAAGACTCAGAAGGAGGCGTGTATTTTTGTGTGTGTTTTAAATTTTGTCAAGATTTTATGACATTGAAAATTTGATGAGGTAAAAAGCAAAGTGGTTAGTTCTAAATGTATTTAAAAAAAAATAATTTTTTACCACTGAACTGCACATTTTTTCAAATTCCTTTACGTTCCCACTAGAACATAGGGGGTGAGGTTGTGAGATCCACGCCCCAACCTTTCTTCTTTACCGGACTTACTATTGGCCCTGACGAGGTAAATGGATGCATCGACTGGGGATCGAACCCAGGAGCACATGCGTGGTCGGCGAGCGTTCTACTACTGAACTGCATAAACTCTGCGATCCTGCTTAGTCGGTATGTATCAGCAAATAGGCATCCAACGCAGCTATCTTTGGCTCTATATCATCACATACACCATCCATTGAGTGTCGTCCTGTGGCACCACCGGCTTCGTCGGCTTTAGACATGTGCTGTTCGCTAGCCCTGAGGCTGGATGTAAGGAGTTGAAAGGTCGGTTAGACTATGACGTAGAGGTAATTCAAATTGCTGGTCAGGAAAGAATCGTAATAATCAATGGCATACATGCTGCAATTTCCTTGCCTTTTCCTCCCGATTCTGACAGTAACATGAAGTGATGAATGTTGAATGGTCTTGACAAGTATGCTTGCTTGGCTAGCTTGCTTTCTGGATGAGATATCCCTATTTTCCTTATATATTGTTGTGTTGCTCATCTCTTGGTGCCCATTTTGTGCCAAGTTTGTGTTCGAGACAAATATATAATGCCAAAACCTAATTTGACCATGTTTCTAGATTTCTCAGTCCCACTAATGTGGTTCATAAAACGGGAAACTACGCAACTACTACTTGATGAATGGTATTCACCTTCTCTCCTACGATAGTATTTCTTTGTTCGAGCAATTCAACTATCTAACTAAACTGGTTGTCCACCCTTTTAATTTTTCCCTATCGTGTATGTGAATTGACTATAATTGGTAGCAATTTCACTAAAGTAACTTAAATTGTCACCATAGAAGACACTTCTTTGATGTGAAGAAAGTTACAAACTATTGTTGATCTTTCATTTTGTTTCACGAAGTATGACCACCATGTAGAAACAGTTCATCTTTCTGAGTGAATGAAAACCAACCCTTTTTCTTCACACAAATCGGTTTTCGTGCTATTTGAAACATTTGCAATGTATGATAGGACCTGTGCATTCCCTTCGTGAATATACGCATAATTTGTAGGAAACAAACGAACTCCTGTCCGTCCCAAGCAAAATACTAAGCGGCATCATCCTGGAGAGAATCAAACACGCCAACCTGGATGTAAAACTTCGACCAGAACAAGCCGAATTCAGCAACAAGAAACAAGTTGTGTATCGATCAAATCGCCACACTACGGATCATCATTGAACAAAGCTTGGAATGGTAGTCAGTTACCTCTCCACCCCACTCAACTTCATCGACTTAGGAAAGGCCTTCGACAGCGTCGATCGAGAGGTGATTTGGAAACTACTTCGCTACTACGGGGTGCCACCGACAATTATACATCTCATCCAACAGTTGTACGACAATGCTGCATGCCAAGTAATCCACAATGGGAAACTTACGGAATCCTTCGAAGTGAGAACGGGAGTAAGGCAAGGCTGCCTGATATCTCCAACGATTTTCCTGATTGCGGACGGTAGATTGGATAATGCGATAGATAGCAGGCAGCGAGGAAACAGGCATAAAATGGACCCACACAAAACTTGGAGGATCTGGACGTCGTTGATAATGTATGTCTGATTTCCTACAAACTGGAAGATATGCAAATGAAAAGTAACAAGTTGGCGATAGAAGAAGCATCAAAGATAGACACAACTTCAGGTGAACATAGAGAAAACAGAAGGGACGAAGCTTCTTCGCAAACAACAACAGCCACCGCAGCAACAACAGACAACAGTCAGTCAGCATAAATGGGAGGAACCTGAGAGAAACAACCTCCTTTACCTATCTACCTACCTGGGAAGCATAGTTTCATGTACAGGCGGCGGAACTGACTATGATATCAAAGCAGCGAGGGTCGGAAAAGCAAGACAAGCTTTCATTACTCTCACCAAGTTTGTGTGGCGGTCAACAGCACTCAGGATGAAAAATAAGATTCAGATTTTCAACTCCAATATGAAGTCAGTGCTACTCACCATACGGATCAGAGACTTGGCGCGTCATGAGGGCCACTTCGAACAAACTACACACCTCCAACAAAAACTATCTTCGCTCAATACTACTCAAGATCAGATGGCCGACCAGAAAAGATCAGGAACAGGGACCTCTGGGAGAAAACCAACCAGGAACTAATTGTGAAACAAATAGGCAGGAAGAAATGGAGATGGATTAGGCATACTCTGAGGGAACCATCAAGTGACATCACTAGACAAGCCATTGCTCGAGTGGAACCCGGCCGAAAGGGAAGCGACGAGTTGGTTGTCAGTGCAAGGGTGACTTGGAGGAGGTCATGTGAAGAGGAGGTGAAAGCATGTGGGCAGACTTGGACCCAGGTGAAAACGTTATCAGAAAACCGAAAGAAATGGAGAAGCTCGGCTGAATCCCTATGTTCCTCTCAGAATTAACGGAAATAATAATAATAATTGTTAGGTACTGGTTACAAGATTAAAAGAACTAGTGGTGATCAAACCAAAACTTGTATATTCGTCAGGCAATGAAATCCATAAGAGTTAGTTTGAACCATGTAGGGAGGTGTAAACTGACTGCCTGGCTGCGGTCCTCGGCATGATGAAAATCAATGAAAGCTGGAGACAATCGGAGCTACGGCGCAAATTTGTTGTTTATGGCTTATGCAGATGCATGCACTCTCTTTGACTTGTCATAATAAAACTCTATTGTTCTTCTGTAGTACGATTGTTTCTCTCACAGACAGTTGTATTTATTATCTGTTTTTTGAGCCCATCTTTGCTCTCTTTTCTTGCTTTGTGTGTTGCATAATGAGAGAGTAGCCAGTTGAAGTGGCGCACATTTGTGGAAAGTTCTATGTTGAAAGTGGTCATTCAATCCACCAGGTTGCGCGTGAGGAAAAATACTTGCCTATGATATTGGCTTGTGGTTGTGCTAATAAATCACGAACTGCTTGAAGTTGGAATTTATGGGCCATTGGATCAAGACGCAGTGGCCGTTAAATGGTCCTGGGTTCGAACTTCGGTGGGTGCATACTGCTGAGGAGTCCCAAACTAGGAAGAAAAAGCTGACTGACTTTCTAGTACTCTCTGTTGGTTTTTAATTGTTCTGTAATTGATATCAATCGGAACGGGTTTTTTTTAATATAACGTGTTAAAAGCCACGTTTGTTCTCTGAGGGCTGATGATACTGACTACCAGTTGTTTAGATTAGCGTAGATGGAGTCGGACATGAACCCATGACATACACACACAGACAAGGGGATGAAAAACTTGTGCTTAAGCCATTCACTCGAATCCCTCTATCTATATGCTTTTTTTGCAATGTAATCTGTCTGTCTGTCTGTCTGTATTCGACATAGAACTTTGCACATGTGTGCACCAGTTCAAGTCGTCACACTCCCTCCATGTAGCACACAAATCAAGAGAATAAAGTACAAGAAATGCATAATAGAGACAGTAAACAGAGGTGTGCATTTCGGATTGTGAGGGCGATTGTTACTTCCCGGCTGCCCACACCGTGGAAGTTGGTTGCGTGACCGCAGAGCCCAGGGGACAACTGCTTGAGACCGGTCACACGCGGCCTGTTTTTGTTCGTTCTTTTTTGTTTGGTGTGTCTCAGTAGCAGATTTATCACTCCTGCCCTGTGACACGGCAGCAGGAAGCGCGGTCGTTGTTAATCCGGGCCACGGCCGATCCGGCATGAAATTTTGTGATTTTGTATTTATCATGATGTTGGATTGGGTAGCTGCTTTTTGTTTAACCGCTATCCAAACAACCTGCCTGGCATGGTAGGACCTCAAGAGACATAAGTCTCAGCCAGTATAGCTTGAATAGATCATTGCGGTGTTCAAGCCCGACCACCACGTCAAGGTGGTGGTTTCGCATTTGTTAGTTTACGCCGACTCTGGCGTAGACGAGATGTTCGAATATCGACCAAAGGGCGGGTGTACTGCTCATCAGTCCGCTCCGTCCTCCTTTATGGTTGTGAGACCTGGCCACTGAGAGTGGAAGACATGAAAAGACTAGCTGTCTTTGATCATAGGTGCCTGCGTTCTATTTCCCGTGTGAAGTGGCATAATAAGGTGAGCAACATGGAGGTTAGGCGTAGAGTTCTAGGTAAACAGGGGAAATCAATCGACGAAGTCGTGAAGCTACAAAGACTGAGATGGTTAGGTCATGTGTTACGTATGCCAAGCCATCGCCTCCCTCGACGAGCTATGTTAGCGGATATAGGGTCAGGCTGGAAAAAAGCTGGCGGCGGTCAAACAAAAATTTGGCATCAGTCAATGAAATCCACAACAGTTGGTCTAAGCCACGTAGAAAGGTGTAGACTTCCAGGCTGGGGTCCTCGGGACGGTAAAAATCTATGGTTGGAAACAATTGGTGACATGGCTCAAAACCGTTCTCAGTGGAGCAGATGCATCCACTCCCTGTGACTGATGATCTTCAATGAAACTGTTTTGTATTTCTTTATTACTCCTTTGTCTCACACCTCTGCTCACTGTTTCTATTATGCTTTTCTTGTACTTTCTTCTCGTGCTTCGCGTGCTACACGGAATGTGGCGACTTGAACTGGTGCACATATGTGCAAAGTTCTATGTCGAAAACAGACAGACAGAAACAGAGGTGTGAAACAAAGTAATAGTAGTAACGTTGAACAAAACAGTTTCATTGGGAATGTAATATTTTCTATAGTTCGATTTGTAAGGGTTAGTTATGTTTTTACGAGTTGATCATGGATTGATATGAGTTAGAGAACCATTGAAAACTAGGGAGTACTGGACAGCCAACTGTTTCTTCCTAGTTTGGGGATCATCGGCAGTACGCACCCATCGCCAGGATTCGAATCCAGGACCTTCCAGTTACAAGGCAAACTGGCTCGTATATCATTCAGCCACTGGGACCCGATTGAATGCCCAGCTCATGAATTCTAACTCGTAAAACATTATCAACCTTTACAAACCAAACTATAGAAAATTAATCTGATGCTCACTAGTGACCACTGGCTACATGATGGAGTTCTAATGAGAAGACGTGACCAGTGATGAGGTCCATCTAGATGTCACGTGGGAGGATGGATGTCCCACTGACGACATTGGTTGTGGTCGCGTTAAATCACGAATTGCAATGCAATATTTTGATTCTTCTAATTTCTGTTTTCCTTTGCTTTATTTTAGGTCCACGTCCATCTCTCGAAGAGATTGTTAACCGATTAAAACAAAATTGTCTACAGAATCAATCATTAGCATCTAGTAAAGCATTGAAGCTTGATCATTCCTTATTACCTCCCGGTGAATGGCCTCAGGAATTAGAAATCATTTTTGATGGATTTTTTGATAGTGAAAAAGAATTGGAATGGGTCACTGTAAATGTAAGTATAGCATATGATAGGAGTGTTGTTATATTATTTGCTCATACTTTTGCACCTGTCAAGTCTGACAGCACTCTATCACTCTGTTCTGTGTACCACAATAGTGTGTGTATCTACATTGTGATCCACTTATTGTTGAAGTTTTTTGAGACGTTTACATATTAGACACCGCACAAGGTCTCATTGTTTGTCCAAGGGCTGAGATAATGCTGCTCTGATGTCCATACCAAAACAGGCGATAATCTTAAGAAGTCAATCTTTAATTGGGCCTTTGACTTGGAGCCCCCAAACGGGTTGATTGCTGATGAAATCTCAGGACGGATACACAAGGCTTGTTTCGCATATGTCAGTTTACGCCGTTTCTGGCCTACTCGTGATATCCGAGACTATCGATCAAAGGGCGTATGTGCTGCTCAGCAGTCCGCTTCGTCTTCCTTTATTACTGGCTATGGGACCTGGTCATTGAGAGTGGAAGACATGAAAAGGTTAGCTTTCTTTGAACATAGGCGCCTGCGCTCTATCTCCCGCGTGAAGTGGTATAATCTGAGCAATATTGAGGTTAGGCATCGGTCGAGTGTTAGGTAAGGGGGCAAGGGAAATCAATCGACGAGGCTGTGAAATTACATCGAATGAGGTGATTAGGACATGTGTTACGTATGCCTAGTCATCGCCTTCCTCGACAACAGGCAATGCTAGCTGACATAGGGTCAGGCTGGAAAAGACCTAGTAAGTGGTGGTCAAACCAAAACATGGCCTCACCAGTCAATGAAATCCACAACAGTTAGTCTAAGTCACGTAGGAAGGTGTAGACTGCTGTCTTGTTGGGGTCCTAGGGACGGTAAAAACCAATGAAGGCTGGAAACAATCGGTGATATGGCTAGCTCAAAATCGTTCTTAGTGATAGCTGACGCAGATGCATCCACTCCTTGTGACTTATAATACCCAACAAAACTATATTGTTCTTCGTTATTACAACTTCTTTTGCCTCATATTCCTGTCTACTATCTCTATTTCGCGTTTATTTTTACCTTCTCTTCTTTTGTGTTCTGAGTGGAGTGTAGCGACTCGAACTGCTGCATATCAGTGCACAGTTCTATGTTGAAAACAGACAGACAGATAGGAGTCTGATTTACAAGTCACATTGTGAGCAGAATCAGAACAAAAACAGATGTCTATATGCCTTTTGATCCTTCTGGATTCTGGAACCCATGCGCGGGGTTTGGTATCAGGGTTATCTAGAACCACTCTAGGTAGTACACCTTCATGTGTCCTACACCGGTTCGGATGTAAAGCTCCAGATTGCCCCCATTCTCCGTTTCACTTTTGTGAGGAATACTGCTGCTGGAAATTTTTGCTTTCGATGCATCCCACACTGTTCTCGCTATTTTTACGGGTAATTAATAGTATTCCTATTTTAATAGTAATAAGATGAGGTTGGAAGATGATTGGTGGTCAGTTTAAACAGCGTATAAGAATGCATGCAATCAGTCATATTGAATTTTCCACAACTACGCTTTCACGTGTATATCAGTAGAATTTGTATTGATTATTATCGTTAACAGAAAACAGGCAGTGTTAAACTTCAGGCATTCAACAAGAGGTGTACGAACGCACCAATGACTTCAGCAGCTCTGCTTTTCTTTCATCCTGCTCTCTTCAATCCTCTTTTACTGGGTCTGCGATGGCCGAACTCTAATATCTCCCATCGTCTTTGTCGACAGCCAGTGTTAGCTGACATAAGATCGATCAGGTTGGAAAAGAGCTAGTGGTGGTCGGACCAAAACGTGTATTCGTCAGTCAATGAAATCCACAACAGTTAGTTTAAGTCAGCCAGCCAGTCACGTAGTGAAGTCTATACTGGCTGGCTGTCTGGTTGGATTTTTCCGGGTGGTGAGAACCAATGAAGGCTTAAGACAGCTGGTGATATTGCTGGCTCGAGACCGTTCTCAGTGATGGCTAGAGCAGATGCACTCACTTTTTGTGACCTGTCATATCCTATAAAACTCCATTGTTCCTGCATAATACTATTGCTTTTCCCTCAGTGCTTATTATATGTCTTTTGGGCCTGCCTTTACTCTTTTCTCTTGCTTTGTGTGCTACATGGAGGGAGTGTGGTTGAAGTGGTGTACCACTGTGGAAAATTCTATGTTGAAACAAGTCAGTCAGTTAGTCAGTCATCGCCCTAATTACGCTAGCGTAACATAGACCTAACCGTAATCTCTCCTCATTCTAACGCTCCATTCGGCACTTTTCAACCTGCATGAGCGTATTTAGGTGATTGATTGGTGCGTTGACGTGTCTCTGTTAAGTGTCTAAAGTTCTGTTTCTCCAGTAGAGGGAATGGTACTCACTCATCAGCTGTTTGCCATTTCATGCAGTTGGCAATAAGCTACAGCTGTTGTTTTTTATGTGAGAGTTGGTTATACTACTCAGTACGCTGCCCAAACTGCAGTAGACGGAGAGACCGGTTCGGAATCATGAACTGCAGGCTAGAAGTCGAGCGCCTAGATCAAATGAGACACAAGAAAGAATCTGATTGTTTCTTGTGAAGTAGCCGTATGAAATAGTTGTCTTGAATGTTGTATTTATAGGTAAAGAAAATCTTTAAAAGTGTTTCTTGATCTCGGTGATCCCCTCAAAGTCACAATTGACTACTTTCACCTCTTATGTACAAAGGAATCGCGTAAATACCATAATAAATTTTTAGTGGGCGTCGGTGGCACAGCGGTTAGGACGCTCACCGACCAGGTACATGGTTCGGGGTTCGATCCCCGGCTGACGCACACTTGATATCAATGGTTGGCCTGCTAAATTTAGACTACCGATATCGCATGTTGAATCTTTCATACTTGTATCAAAATTAAAAATTAGAAAATTCTTATTTTACTGCTGCTTTGCTCTCCGAGTGGAATCAGTAGCAGTTGTGTCGGTCTCTTATGGGGTGGGGTTGTCAACTTCACGCCTAATCTCTTTCCCTTTTAAAGGGCTTACTACAGGTAGCTAAACAATTTTTAGGAGTGTGTCAGTTGGGAAAATCGGACCGTGGACGGACCACATGAGGTGACGTTGGTTGGCGAAGAATCAACCCCCTCCTCGATGAACCACCGAAGTTAAAGTCTACTTCTGGTTAACGATGAGAAGAAGAATATAGGGAATTTAATGTTTAGTCTGTGTGGTAGTGTTGGTGTGGATGGTCTGTGATTGGTCAGCCCACAAGCTGCCTTAAACATTTGTAACTTGTTTGTTTGACCCCCTAATTTGTGTAATCCACTACTGGATAAACTGATACGAGTTTGTTTCTTTAAAACATTTAGTCCTTTCTACAAATGTGGATAGTGTTATTATTCTTATTATTAAGAATAATAAGAATAATTAACAACACGTTTGGTTATTTAACCATATAAGAATTACCAAGGTAGGTGGTAGGTCAAGAGTAATAACAAATTGTTTATGTACACACAGTTGGTGTTAGTGGTGTTGAGGGAGTAAGTTTACGAATAGCTATCACCTCAGTGTATTTCAATAAGCCTCCTCAAAATAACCTTCAAAGTTGTTTTGACATCAGTCTTATGGTTCATCTTTTGAGTGGTGTGTGTCCCCGATCCAATTCCATTTTCTTCCTCTGTAAGATTTGTTGGGCAATCAGTTCTTGATTTGTTTGTTCCCAGAGTTTGTTTCTACCCCCGCCCCCCCCACACACACAGAGCTTAAAACATTCAGGTGGAATAAGGTATTTAGCTTATTTACTAAATATTCACAGAGGCGTTTAATTTGCATCGTGATTATATCATGTAATACATATATTTTCAAATATTTAGTTTGATTGGATGGAGGATTTCATCATGAGCTGACATCAGTTAGAGAACCAATGGAAAACCTGGGAGAACTGGACTGCTGTTTCGTCCTAGCTTGGGGCCCTTCATCGGTACGCACCCTCTGCTGGAGTTCAAACCCAGGAACTGGCTACAAGGCGAGCAGGTAGACCATTGAGCCACTGGGAACCGATCCAATGGCCAGCCAGCCCATAAATTCTAACTTCTGCCAGTTCACGACATAGCATAGCGTGACCATTTCACGCAATGTCTTCTTCGATGATGAGTTACTGCCTCATCTTCATTCAACCTGCTGCATCCTACTGATCATGGATTCCCAATAGAACCCTAGGTTACTGCCTGATTACGATGAACTGATCATCTAAGAATACGATTTAACTAACCCGTGATTTATGACAGTGTTCGTTTTCATACATATAATCTTCATTTTAACTTTGCCTATCTTCACAAAATATGCTAACATATTTAAAAAAAAAATTTTCTTAAAGGCTTCTGTCAGTTTACGTTTACGATTCGGTTGGGCATGGCGGCGTAAAATGTGTCCAAGTGATACAGTTATCAAGATAACTAATCATCCAATACGCATGAATTGTTATAGTCAGTCAACTGGTTATAGTACAATTATCAATACTCACGCCAACAACTCAGGTTCATTAACTAACAACACGTCAAATGGCGGCGGCGGCGGTGGTGCTCATGAGAAAGATGATAAACGTAAACAGTTGACAAATAATAATAATAATAGTATTGTTAATGCGTGTCGTTTCTCTTTAACTCATCTACTCGATGAAGTTCAATGGCAAGCGTCTGGTAGTCGATTAACAACTATTCAACTAGAATTACATGTTTCTGCTGTTGAAAAACGCTTGTTAAAACGTCCAGATATTATAAATAGTCCGAATGGCATCCTATCAAGTATGCCAATGAATTCTACTCCTACTCCTACTCCTCCTCCTACTACTACTAACCAGAATAATACTACATTACAATCGACGTCTACGTCTACTACGCCGACAACATCATCTCCATCCTTATCGTTGTCACTGGGGAATCCAATAAGCCGTAAAACTGGTTTAAGTGTAGCCTCTTATCCTGTGCATTATGTGACGGCTCCTTTGCCTTTGATTACTACGCCTTACAATTTCAGTAAGTTATTTATTATTATTAGTTAAATTATTCACCGTTTATAACCCCCTAATTTTTTTAAAGCACGTTCAGGTAATATAATATTTCCAATGGGTTTAAAAACGTGGTTGTGTTATTTGTTTGTGTCAGTCTATACCTTCACGTTCCCCAGTAGAACATAGGGCTTCAAGATATAGTGGCTTGGAGTTTCTGTAGCAGTGGTGATTACTTTTACAGGATGGGGTTGCTAGCCTGCCTCATGCCCAACCTTACCTCTTTACCAGAATTATTTCTGGCTTAGCAAGGTAAAGGAGTGCGTCCAGTGGCCGGGGATCGAACCCCGGACCATGTGCATGATCGGCGAGCATCCTAACCGCTATGCCACCAACGCACGGATAGAATTGAATTGGTTGAAGGATTTCATCATGAGCTGCCATCTGGTTGAGAACCAGTGGGGAGTTTGGGAGACTTCAGCAGTGCGCACCCACCGCCAGCGTTCGAACCCAGGACCTTTTGGTAACAAGGGTAACTAGGTCGTAGACCATTAAGCCACTGCGACCCGATCCAATGGCCAGTGCGTGAATTCCAACTTCTACCAATTCACGACATAGCGCGACCACTTCGCGCAATGTCTTCTTCGATGAGTAACTTTCATCACCTTCGACTGGCTGTACCCTACCGGTCACGGCTTCCCACTACAACACTGATTACTGTCTACCTGAATAGACTGAGATGGTTAGGACATGTTACGTATGCCTAGTCATCGCCTTCCTCGATAGCTGATATAGAGTCAGGCTGTAAAAAAGCTAGCGGTTGTCAAACAAAAACATGGGACCAGTCAATGAAATCTACAACAATTAGTCTAAGCCACGTAGGAAGGTGTAGACTTCCTGTCTTGTTGGGGTCCTCGGGACGGTAGAAACCAATGGTTGGAAACAATTGGTGACATGGCTCAAAATCATTCTCAATGGCTGGCGCAGATGCATCCACTCCTTGTGACTTATGATTTCCAATCAAACTGTTTTGTTCATTGTTACTACTATTACTTTGTCTCACACCTGTGCTTACAGTCTCTATTATGCATTTCTTGTACTTTATTCTCTTGATTTGTGTGCTACATGGAGGGAGTGTGGCGACTTGAACTGGTGCACATATGTGCAAAGTTCTATGTCGAAAACAGATAGATAGACAGACAGACCTGAATAGGGCTAGTCGCTAGTGAGAGCATTAGATGAATTTTAAATTCATAAGTAAAAACACAGTTTTTTTTGTTCGGCGAAGAAATTTCTTTTCAACGACTTCATTTTCAAGCTGTACAGTCGTATTTATATTACAGAAAAAGGTTATTAAGTGGCACTAAATAATTGCTCAGTCAATATACATGAATAAGTGATAAGAATAACAATAATTAAAATGTTATAAGGGGGCAGAGTTGGAGTGGATGGATTACTACAAAATTACCAAAGATTGTTTTATAAGTGAATTGATACCCAAAATATTTTTATAAGAAAAATGTCAAGCGTTGTCTAAAAATTTTTTTAAAAATATTGGGAGTACGATTACGATAAGAATAAAGATGTGAAGTGAAATGAAGTGGAATGAATTCAAGTGGTAAAATAAAATAAAAAAAAAACTAGAAGAAAACATTATTATGACCAAGGTAAAGAAAGAGGTTTGACAGAACGTTTTTGAACACATAATTGTATGTTTCTGTTCATGTATAGCTAAAGCTTCGGCTAGTTATGCATAAGTGAAGAAAACGTTAACTCTTTTGGATCGATTCGATTTCGCCATGTAGATAACTTTGAAGGATAAGTCACGTGGGGCTAAATGACCGACCAGACTCTATCTAACAGGTGATCACAAATAGACGACTTTGCAGTTTTCTACTTTCACCTTTCATTAACCAATTATTGGTTTTTGTAGGGATTTAGTTTTATTTGGTTGGAGGATTTCATCATGAGCTGACATCGGCCAGAGGAACCATTGGAAAACCAGTGGGGGAGTACTGGACCGGCTATTTTGTCGGCCTAGTTAGGGACTCTTCATCAGTACACTGTTTATACCAAACAAAGAGCTAGACATATATGACACTAGTTACGTAATATTTAGTGTTTAATCAAAGTATCGAATACAGTCCTATGAGGAGGTAAATTACGGGCCTGAATAGCTCAGTAATGGTGACATCTTTGACTACTGCAACACTGTGTGACTTATAGGTCCAAATCTCAGAGGAGATATCGTTACAGATAGGCCTTGCTGACTATTAGTGAGTGTGCTATCAACAAGGACGCGATACCTAGATCCAAGGTTTCCTCCATATTGCCACTGACTGACCATCTAAGAATACGATTTAACTAACCGTGATTTATGACGACGTTCACTTTAATAGATGTGGTAAGACCTATAGGTTTTTGTGAATAATTAATAAAAGCACTCTTAGAGTTTCTTTTATAATACATAGAATGTAGACTGGACAGTCGGTAAACATTTGAATTACTGTTATTATTATTCCCTTTGCAAAGTTCTGCGTTGAAACTCAATCATTCAGTTAGTCAGTCAGTCCTTGGGTTCCGAGTGGAACATTTAGTCCATCAACTGTCTGTCTGTTTTCAACATAGAACTTTGCACCGATGCGCGTCAGTTCAAGTCGCCACACTCCCTCCATGTAGCACACAAAGCAAGAGAAGGAAGTAGAAGAAATGCAAAATAGAGATAGTAAACAGAGGTGTGAGACAAAAGAAGAATAATAACGAAGAACGATATAGTTTCATTGGAAATTATAAGTCACAAGTAGTGGATGAATCTGCGCCATTGCGAACGATTTTGAGCCTTCATTGGTTTTTACCGTCCCGAGGACACAAACCACTCAGGAAGTCTACACCTTCCTACGTGGCTTAGACTAACTGCTGTAGATTTCATTGACTGATGAGTCCATGTTTTGGTTTGACCACCACTTACTAGCTGTTTTCCAGCTTGACCCTATGTTAGCCAACAATGCCCGTCGAGGAAGGCGATAGTTAGGCTAGTCATGCGTAACGCATGTCTTAACCATCTCAGTTGATGTAATTTCACAGCCTCATAGGTTGATTTTCCCTCCTTCAACAGCTTGTCTCTTTTTCATCCAATTCCCTACAATCCTCTTTAGTTGGCCTCACAATTGCCCATAGACTCTCATCTTCTCACATGATCTCCTCCATATCACTCGAATTCATGCTCAACTGACTGTTTCCCATTCTGAGCTGGTGTGTGATGTCACTGACTTGGCTCCTCAGTGGCGCCTGTGTCCTATTCATCTGCATTTCTTTTGAGTTATTTGTTAGGCAACATGTTCTTAGTTTGATTTTTCCCAGAGTTTTCACTGTCGCTTACCCTTTCCGACAGGTAATCTCATCTCCATTATTATGGAGTAAAGTTGATCGTCGGTGGAAACTCTTTTAGTGACACGCTCGTGCAAAGTCTCTGTACCATATATAGAGTAGCGCTGACTGACTTATACATTAGTGTTGGAAATCCGTATCTTGTCCGTTATCCTGATTGCAACAGAATTCCAGAACTGATTTCGAAGTGGGTAATGAATGTCTGTTTTGTTTTTCTGATCCTGTCTGGCTTTGACACTTTGACATCTTCATTGGTGCCACCGCTACTGTAATAGTTGAAACGATAAGTGACCTCGTTCGTCAGTTACTTCCCTTGATAAAATTTGAATAATGTACTCTTCTAGTTTTTCACCTTGTAACCGTTAATTCTATTGTGTTATTATTGAAGACATTCAGTCATGAATTCAAAGATCCTCTTCTCTTGGACATCATTATGCACGTGTTTGTTTTTTATGCCTTTGTATTCTGAGTGGAACATATAGCGTCTTCAAGCTCTTTGGAAGTTTCATTAGTTGGATGTAGTGTTGTTCTTACGGGATGAATTCTCTAACCTCACACACCCCTCTCTTCAACCTTCCCTCATTGTCTAGAAAACTAGGCGAGGTTTACGGGTGCAGTTTGACTGGGGTTTGGCCTTGAAATACATCCACCTGATTGGCCAGCATTATTTTACCATTGAACCAATAACTCTCCTTATATTGGTTTATCCTATTAATTATGTTGAGTAAAGATGTCGGCTGGTTGGTTGAAGCACTCAACTTTCAGTCAGTAGAGGTTCTAGTTACGAATCGTGGCCTGGAACTTGAAAGACCTCTACCCGAGAATAATTGAGTTTGGTGCAGGCTGAATCCTATCAGTGGTAACTTCATTGACTACAGCACTGGGTGGTGGTTCGAATCTCAAAAGGGCTATGAGTACTTTCACGATATAAAAGACACTACCTTGATGAGTGATGAATGAATGACAACAAGCTCACAAACCTACGTCCAAGGCATCCTGATGATTACCTTCAATCATCTAATAAAAAGCAACTTCCTTCATATTTCTAGAATCCTTCAAGTACACGGATTGATTGAGACGGGTGGTGGTTGTATACTACCTATATCAGCCAGTAGTGTTTGCCCACCAGATTGAAGTGATCTGAATACAGGACAGTTGTTTCACTCCTTTGGAGTGTAGCTCATCAGCAATGCAACCGGTGTGATTCAGTTCAGTTCACCGCATTTTTGGCTAGGTACTTGGGGAGCATTTGTGCTTAGTTAACCATTTGTGGTCCCAATAACTGCTGTTTCCAAAAGGAACTGCGATGAAATTTCACCTATCTCCTCGAACTGTGTAGTAATGTAACTACAGAAGACAAGGGTCAAGCAACAGATCGTTTATTGAGAAAATCAAGAGGTATTCATAGATTTTTATGTACATTATTATAAGCGTTATTGTTAACAGAGAAGCAACGTCTTCTAGTTGGTTGTTTTCCTGCTGAAGGTTATTCTGTACTGCTTGTGACCGTTTCTTAGAAAGTTAAGCAAATCGTATTTGCACACGTTAAGTCTTCTGTGATTGGCTGATGAGTCCCTGAAGGCTTTGTTATTGTTTTTTCTCATGACCCTGATTTGGGACGTAAATTGTTGTTGACGAGTTTTGGCTTGCAGACAGCTCTCTCATCACAGTAGGACAATGAAAACTTCGCAAATGAAAGCCCATCCCCCCCTTTAGCTCCATCACAAAGTCTCAGTTATGCAGATACACTTAGCTATGATAGCATAGTAAGAATTCACATCAGCACTGATTAACTTGCTTTCCACATTGAAGTTTGTGATCCCACACAACATACACACACACACACACCAGTAATAGAATTAACAAAGCACATAATTCGAAAACCTGTAACCTTAGATACCCTTGACTTTCCGTAACTATACCTCAGTAGGTAGGGTAGGACAGAGGTAAACCTTACTGTACAGTAGTAACATTCATTTTTGTACGAAAAAAGCGGCATAATCTAGAAAACTCTGAGTTATCTAAAGTTCATTCACAATTACAACCAATGCGTCTCGAGCTTGAGTCATATATTTCACCTAATCCTCAGCTTCAGTAACCAGCAACTGAGTAGGTATCATTAGTTTACATCATTAACCCTGAGGATAGCTGAGCTCAAATATTTACTTTCTCAATTTTCTATCCTACTAATTCAGTTTCTTCTCCTTTTTTTCCTTTTAATTTTCAGATACCTCTAGTGCACTTCGTCAATTTCATTTAATTCCTGGTTATTATGAACTAAGACTTGGTGTGGATTCATCAGAAACTAATGAATCGACTTACAGTACTACTAATACTACAAGTATACCAATTAATTTTCCCCCAGTTATTGGACAAGTCGATAACACATGTTCTGGTTCAATTGAATGGAAACGTATACGATTTCCTAAATCATCTACTGCTGAAGATGAATATTCTCGTTGGCCACGTCTACGATTCTCTGTTGTATGGCATAAAAAATCAATCGTGAAAAATGAAAACATTTCATCATTATCACGATTAATAGAAACGCGTAGTCAATATATAAAGAATAATACTAGTAATAATAATAAATTTAATAGTAATCATACAGATTCCCCCGTGGAAAGTGATCGAGTTTCCTACACACGTGAGTTGATTCCCTTATTTATTTTTTTGCACAGCTTATTTTTTAATATGCAATATATGATAGAGAAGATATGTAGCTCAGGTGGATGATTTTGATGTGGTTTTGTTCTCTGAGCTGGATGGTTAGTTTGCGAAGCTTTCATCACCTTACTGGGTGACATCTTCAGCGCATACTTCAATTTGAAGTGAGCTTTTAGATTTCTCCACGAGTTTATTAATCATCTCTCCTGGTGACCTTGGACGTGATTGGTTGTTTGTGTGTTTTTTCACACCATCTAGGTTACTTGTATTGGAACCGGTTGTTTCTTTGACTTGAACTTTGACCCTTTGTGTGTGAAGTTTCTTTCTTATTGGCTGATAAATTTTGTCTATCTCGATGTGTCTATTGACTTATGATCCACTGGAATGCCAAGCTTCTAAACATTCTCTAGCATTCTTGTTATTTCCTTTGTCTAATATTTGAACGTTGTCCCAGTCGAATTGATGTCCGTAGTTGTCTGTGTGTAGTGAAATGAGGGTGGTAACACAGGATGGATCAGGTTGGAAAAGAGCTAGTAAGTGGTGGTCAAACCAAAACATGACTTCATCAGTCAATGAAATCCAGACGTTCAGTGTAGTTCTTGTCCTCGTCACCTTACATTCTGTGTGCAGAACATTAAGATTCAAGCTTTGAGCTTTGAAGCTACGGGAACACAGTGGTACATTGTTGTTTTATATCTCGTGGTGGTGGGTGGGTGGGTGGATGGATGGGTCTGTGTTCTATCTCTCTTGTCTTAGGTGGTACAATAGAGTGAGTAGTATCGGAGTGAAGCGTAGTGTGTTAGATAAGAAGTGGAAGTCAATCGATCAGACGATAGGTACATGTGTTACGTGTATGCCTAGGCATCACCTTCCTCGATGGGAAATGTCAGCTGATACCGGATTGATCAGGTTGGAGCACAGTTAGCTGGTGATGGTCAAACTGAAACATGCTTTCACCAGTCATTGAAATGCACAACAGTTAGTTTACGCCAGTCAGTCACGTAGGGAGGTGTAAACTGGTTGGCTGTCTGACTGGGTTCCTTGTAATGTTGAGAACCGGCTGAAGACAACTGGTGATATGGTTGGCTTGAGATCGTTCTCCGTGATGGCTTGCACAGATGTAGTCACTCTTTGTCATTTGTCATATCGAATAAAATTTATTGTTCCTCCATATTAATATTGTTTTTCCCTCGCTCACACTTCTATTTATTCTCTCTCTCTCTATTATGAATCTCTCTTTACTTTCTTGTCTTGCTTTGTGTCCTACATGGAGGGAGTGTGACAACTCGAACTGCTTCATCGCTGTACAAGGTTCTGTGTTGAAATAAGCCGGTCAGTATAGTCTTATGCTCACAGGCGGTTACATTCTTACTTAGCTAGACTTCGAAATTAGTGGAATATTTTATCGAAATGCCTTTACTTTTAATTCAAGAAAAGGTTCTTGTTTATTTCTTATTTAACTGATTAAAAATGCCCATTAGGATTTTCTAAAGAATGGATACTGGACAAAGAATAAATACTCTTTTCGATAACCTGCTCCTCATCAGGCTCTACAGTTCTATACACATTATGGTGAATGAATGAAGTAGTGTTATGAACAACACTAATGTTGTTTAAATAACATCGAATCAATAATATTGATAGATTACAGCTCAATAGCACCAACATAACAATACACTGAATGTCAGAAAAATTAGGAGAGATAATATTACATATTCGTGAATTTATAGTCTCTGCTGAAGTCTGGCCAGGGCAATGGTAGGGGCTTGACTTGCTTCTTTTGAACACGTAGCACTGATTGTTTTAGGCGAATTGTAATAGCCTCTGCTGTTTGGAGCATGTGGTGCTTCGATGATTTCGGCAATTTACTAGGCACGCGGTAGATTATAGAGAAGGATTCCTCCACTCTTTCTGGCTTTGTGGCCGGTTTGCACCAGATGGTCCAATATCGAACTGTTAATGGTTTTTAACTACACCTTTACTTAACCATAGTGGAAGATGTTCTCGAGCGAGCACCAAAAATCAAGTTCTTATAGCAACGGCCGATATTACTCACCCTACAGGGGCAGTTGAATTGGTAGATACAATTTGAAGTGGCTAGCTAGTCTAGGTACTTCATATTTCAGTCGAGGTAGCACCATCGCTCGTGCAGAGAATAATACGTGTAGTTTGCCATCAGCATTAAAAGTTTTTTGAACTGATTTTCCTAATCTTCTCGTAATTATCTCTCACTTTGTATATCGCCCTTGAATTGTAGTCGTATATAAAGTGGCTTCTTGTTTACAGGTAGTGCGTAATTTTTTCCGCTTTCTTTGTTATGTGTTTCTTGATAAATTTGTGGGGATAGCTATTTTCGATCAAAGTATCATCTTCAGTTACCTCTTCTGAGCATATAGCTCCAACTCTTTGGCTGAGGGTCTTTACTAAATTTTTTTTATACTTGATAGGAACGAAGCTGTGAAAATGTGTGTATATATTGTCCTGTCCAAGTACTTTTTCTACGCAAATTTCGTTTTTTATGCTACCGTCTGGTTTTCTTGTAAGTAGGACATCCAATCCAGGAAGGCAATTCATTTTGTCTTGGGATTCCTCTTCACTTGTGATTTTCATAGCCGAATGTATTGAATTCAGTAATTATTGTATTCCTATCCGAATCATTATTATCACAAAGAATAAGGGTGTTGTCAGTCATCCATATATTGGCAATAAAATGAGAACTTACTGTTAACGGTTGTTCAAAGTTAGGCACATTTTCTAGCTTACTTAAAAAGAAATCAACCAAAATGGGACCTAATGGGGAGAGGGAGCTCGTCGTCGTCACTCCGTCCATTTTCTCTTCATTTGGGCTATTTATTCATTTATTTTTTAGGTGATTTTATGACTACTGTCTGTCTGTCTGTTTTCGACATAGAACTTTGCACTACTAGTAAGTAGTGCTTGAATCTATTTTTCTTCTCTCTCTCTCCCCCTCCCGTGTCTCTTTAACTTTGCCATCGATGACATTCTGGAGTCAGCTCTGAAGGATGTGCGTGAAGGTGATGTAGATCTGCTACATGGAGATAGACTTTTCGACCTCGAGTATGCATAGGATATTGTCCTACAGTGCGATAGCATGCGGGCTGCCCAAATCGCACTTAATCAGTTGGCGACCAGTGTCTGTAAGTATGGTATGTGCTTTGCGCCGTCTAAGTGCAAAGTACTGTTACAAGATTGGCAGGAGCCTGCACCTGCACTCACTCTTGCGAGTGAACCGCTTGAAGTTGTTGATAAGCTTATGTATCTGTATAGTTGTGTGAGTGCTGGTGGAGGGGTGACGGATGAAATTTCCAACCGTATAATGAAGGCTAGGGTGGCATAAATCAACTTGAGCCACCTCTGGCGCCGTCGCGACGTTAGCCTGGCCTGGCTGTCAAAGGTCGGGTATACAATGCTTGGGTGCGGGCTGCCTTGTTCTACGCCTGTGAAACCTGACACCTCAGAGCTGAGGATGTGTGGCGACTCTGCGTGTTCGATCATCGCTGTCTCCGCAGGATTGCTTGCGTTCGATGGTATCATCGCGTGAGTAATTCTGAGGTTCGGCGGCGTGTGTTTGAACACAATGGAGATCACCATTCATTGAGTGTAGTCATCTGGAAACACCTGCTCCGGTGGCTTGGACATTTGCTGCGAATGTCATCCCAGAGGTTTCCGTACAGGTCTCTGTTCGCTAGCCAGCCCTTGGACGGGATGAAAAAGGCGAAGTGGTGGTCGGTCCATGACGTGGCGTCGTGGGATGAAGGAGTTTTGTGCTAGATTAGCATCGGTTGGTGTGTCACGACTATCTGGTTGGGGTCCGAGAGATAGCTCAAATCGATGGCTCGAAACGTTATCGGATATGGCCAAGAATCGCAGTCATCAATGGCGAACGTGTTGCAATTTCCTTCTTTCTTCCCTTCCTGATGATAGTTAACGAATACTCTTTGAACTTGTTAAGTATGACTGTTTTCCTTTCAGATGAAGTTCTTTATCTGTTCTCTACTTATATTTTTTTCGTTTCCTTCTTTTTTTCTTTTGATCTATGTTGTTTTATTATTATTGTTTGGCGCGTCCTTCTTGGTGCCATATTATACCAAGTTTTTTTCTGCGTTTAAATAAATATAATAATAATAATACTCCTTCTGTCTCTGTGTGTATTTTTCCTCACGAAGGATCCATGACAAATTCTTTGAGTCGTGATTCAATCAAATATGAAAAGCATCAACTGAACCTATCTGCAAAGAGTAACAATAGTAGTAGTCCTACAACAAGAGTGTCAACAACAGAATCTCATATTACAAATGGTATAAATGGTAATCATTTAAGCAATAGTATAGATCAAGATATATCATTATCATCAGATCATGCAAATGAAATGAATCATTCGCAATCATCGATTGTTCCAGTAGCAGTTGGCGGGGGAGGAGAAAGAGCAGGAGGAGAACTAGAAGTCAGTCAGCATACAGCTCCAACAAATTCACCATTTCCTGATCATCCGATATCATTTGCTTTTGTATATGGAGATAATTTATCCCATTGGTGTATATCTACTGATCTAAAGTGTCCATGGTGTTATTTAGATTGTTCTAGAGCTGGCAATAAAGGTAATGCTAATTGATTGATTGATTGATATTCCACGTTTTGTAAATTACCTATTTATATTGTGCTGTGTATTCCTATTGTCTGGGTCAATTTTTTCATTGGACTGTCAAATGCTTCTCGTTCCCTCTTGACGTGTCGTTCGTCCTCTTAGTATGTAGAGGTTTTTTGACGATGCCCCTTCTATCAGTCAAGCTTGCACAATATAGTCATCATCATCATCGGTTCGGATCTCAAAAGATGAGATGGTGAGTTTCTTCAGGAGAGAATCAAACCGATGATGGCTATATTGTGCAAAACTTGACTGATAGCAATTCAGTCTGCAGCAAACCAAGGATTTCAGATGCATAACACTAATTAGTGTCCAGCCGAAGTATCTCATACACAGTCCTACAGAAGGTCATTTGCGAACCCGAATAGCTTAGTGGTGACGTCTCTTGCTGCAAGACTGGAGGGCACGAATTCAGACCTCAGAAAGGACACCTAGGTTCAGACAGGGCTTCCTGCCGATTGTCTCCAACCGTCTAATGATGTTACTTGGTTTGGTGAAGGGGGGAGATCAGCTGTCGATTGTAGTATTCAGATTTCGTCCTCTTTGGGACTCTTCAGCTATATGCATACTCACATCATCTGTAGATGATAGATAATGACAAGTCGACCGCAAGATAAAACGCACTCACCGTATTCCAGTACTAAATATCATCAACCAGTCACCAGCAACATAATATCGATAGAGTTTGAATAATTTTGCTGAATGAAGTTCAATCGACAGTAAGTTCAAATTAACTTAACCAAATAAACCGCGGGTATATCTGATGCACTATGGTGGGTGTTGTGATTTAGTCGCCTAGTAGAATAAGGTTTTTGAAATCATGAGTCTTGTTGGAAGGAACACCACCACTCAAGGGATATACGATAAATTCTCATATTACTTGAATTCTCTGCATTAAGAGAAAAAATTTTATACCAGAGAATTCGCTGAGAATTTTCGTACATTATGTAAACACCTAATTGAATTTTTAGATTTTCCCATTGATTGATTGGACTGAAGTGCTCGGTCTGAGGTTGACATGTCTACTTCGGTCCAATCAATGGATGAGGAAAATCTAAAAATTCAGTTAAACAATTAATATGACCCGTTGCACAAGAGGTGGCTAGCTGTCGTGGCCCAAGTGGTCTAGTGGATAACACTTTGGCGTTTTGAATTATTAGCACTGGGTTCAAGCCTCGGTGGGAACATCATCATTGACTCACTGGGGAATGCAGGTACATCCACCAGATGACGAGTCCTAAACAGGACGAAATGCGAATCCTGGTGGATTCCACTGCTAGTCACTATCTACACATTAACCTCTTATTATGTAAACACTTGGGTTTCAAGTAGAACACCTGAGGGTTTCAGGAGCACATTGCCACTTCACTCAGTACTCTGCTGTCTTTTCTTAGCTGCTTCTACAATCGCCCATACACATCCCATGTGACCCTCGAACCCCTTTCGCCGTGCGAACTCTCATCGTTTCTCATTCAGGTTCTATTCAAGGGGTCTGCCTGGTGAGCGTGTCATCTCAGTATATTGTTTACTAAAGTTGAGGAATTCTGGTTGACTCGATAGACTACAGAAATATAACTTGATATTCGATTATTTGATTGATAATTCAATCAGCATTTGTTTAAGTGATGATTTTATTTCATATTGTTAAAATTGTGTTATGTAATAGAAAAATGATTTTCTGTATTGAATTTATTTATATTGGCTTTCGACTGTGATCTGTAAAGTGTGATCATGGATTGTGATGTCGGTTAGAGAACTATTTGAAACCATTAGGGAGAGTACTGGATAGCCAGATGTTTCGTCCTTGGTTTTGGAACTCCTCAACAGTACGCATCTGCAGGGCTTTGAGTGCGGGATCTTCTTGCAGGGAAAGGTTGTAGACTATGCTGCTACTGTGACTTGATGCAGCGTTTTACAACCGTTGGGTGCATACTGATGTGATATGAAGAGTCCCAAATTAGGAAGAAACAGCTACTAGTCCAGTACTCTTTGTTGGTTTTTTCAATTGTTCGCCAAACACTGACAAAATGAACTCTTCAATTGATCCTCTCTTTTTTGTTTGTTTGCCTGCTTGTTTTTATCAATATAGGTATTGAAGCCTTACTTATTCATCTTCGAAGTAGTCATGGAAGATTTCGTTTCAAGGCTAAATGGAATTCAACACGGAATCAAATAAGCCTACAAGTCACTTTAAATGATGCTTATGATGGTTCAAATGATTGTGGATTACGTAGATGGTGTATTGGTGTATATAAAAATTTTATTAAACGATGTCATCTCATTACACCGAGTCAGTTATTTGTTAATGGTTGGATGAAGACTGATAATGATCCTAGTGAAAGTAATAATAATAATAATAAAATTATTAAAAAGGAAGACAATTCAGATTATCATCAGTATTCCTCTTCATCGAACAGTCATATTAAGGCTATACTACGTATTCGTTGTCCAATTCGACGTTTCCCTTATACGCATATCATATTTTGGCGGGGTGCTGAACTTTGCACTAGTAGTAATGAAGTTAGTCATTTATTCTTTCTTTTTTTGAAATGTGTATATTTCAAAAATATTTATCTATGCAGAGAAATGTGATTGATTGGCCCCTAAGTACACCTAATTTTTACAGGTAAATGGGGTCTGGATGGATCTAAACTGTACTATTTTAAAGCCTTGAAATTACATCGGCTGAGATGGTTAAGATCATGGGTTACGTATGCCTAGTTACTCATCGCCTTCCTCGACCGACAGGCAATGTTAGCTGACATAGGGTCATGCTGGAAAAGAGCTAGTAGGTGGTGGTCAAACCAAAACATGGCTTCATCAGTCAATGAAATCCACAACAGTTAGTTTAAAGCCAGCCAGCGAGTCACGTAGGAAGATATAGACTTCCTGAGTGGTTGGAGTCCTCGGGACGGTAAAAACCAATGGCTGGAGACAATCGGTGATATGGCTGGCTCAAAATCGTTGTTCTCAGTGATGGCTGGCGCAGATACATCCACTCCTTGTGGCTTATGATTTCAAGTGAAACTATATCGTTCTTCGTTAATCCTATACCTTTGTCTCACACCTCTGTTTACAGTCTCTATTATGCATTTCTTCTAGTTTCTTGAACCGCTGCACATCGGTGCGAAGTTTTCTGTCGAAAACAGTCAGACCTGTACTGAGGCACTGAACTTTTGAGATTCCACTGGCCTTTCCTAATGAAGCGAAGTTTCCAGTGCCTTTCTAGCCTATTTGATCTCTTATGCTTAAGTTGAAAGTTGTTGTATTATGTATGGCTAGTCGTGTGGCTTCATTTATCTTAGATTTTGATGGTGTGAACGAACTGCAGATTTTATCCTTAGGGTGTTCAAAAGAGACTCTGAGGATTGTTATTACCAGTGGTAGTAGTGTGGTGAGAGTTGCTTGCAAGCCGAAATTGTAGACGTTGACTTGCCGTCAATGTTAACGTCCTGAATCAGGTTCATGAGAAAAAATCAATAACAAAGCTTAACCTTGAGAAAATTACCAGCCAATCGCAGCGGAGTTGTTGACGTGTGGATATATGATTCGCAGATATATGGCTTGATTTTCTTGATAAATGATCTGTTGCCTGGCATTTATCATCTGTCGGTACAATAGTAGTGGTAGTCTGATCCTGAGGGATTTCAGGATTTACGAGTTCTTCTCCATAAAAAACGTCAATCCTTGTGATATAGAGAAATAACCTTGTCTTAGGATTCAACTTCTATGTAAACTGCGATATGTGGACAGCCAGGAGATCAATCCGTTGACCCAAGGCTTATTGCCTCCTTCACAACTATCTGCATTTGGTTAGTGAGTTTTACGACAGTTTACCAGGCCGTGTGTGTGTGTGTGTGTGTGTGTAAATCGATTCCTTTGTTGATAATCAAAGTGTCTCGTTCGAGGTTTAAATACAAGCCTTATTACATGAGCATTTCTTAGTGTGGATTGCGCATTATTTTAAGAAGTTTCATCATTCTATGCTTCTCACTGGTATTCACGCCCGTCCTTTCTTATTTTTGCTTTTCGAGATGGAACACAGTTCTTCAAGCTTTAAGCTCTATGGTTTCAGCGGCAGTTATGGTATTGTTTTTATGTTGTGTGGAAGAGCAGCTGACCCTGTTTTCGAGGTGTTTAGGCGATTCTTACTTCTCACCTGCCCACAATGTAAAAGTTAGTTTTTTTTCCTCGAGGTTCCTGAATCAACAGAAAGAGAATTAGTATTGCGTGACTGCAGAGCCAATGGAACTGATTGCGACTAGTTTCAACATAAAACTTTGCACGGAATTGTATCAGTTCGAATAGGCACACACTCTTCATCTAGCACAGAAGAGGAGGAAGAAAATAAATTCAGAAGAACGATAAGCGTCTGAGCAAGTCATCACTGAGAACGATTTCGAGCCAGCAATATCACCAGTTGTCTCCAGCCGACGTTAGTTCTTACCATCTCAAGGACCCCAACCAGAAAGCCAACCGGTCTACACTTGCGTACGTGACTGATTGGCCTAAACTAAATGTGTGGGATTTCACTTACTGATGAAGCCATGTTTTGGTTTGACCACCCCACTAGCTAACTCTTTTCCAACCTGATCAATCCTGTGTCAAGTGACATTAGCCATCGAGGATGTCATTGGCTAGGTACGCGTTACGCATATATCCTAGCTACTTCAAATCGATGGAGCCCAGGAGAGGCCGCATTCAAGTTATGTCTATGGTAAAATCTTATCGCCAACCACAGGCAGTCGTTCGATAAGTCTGGGATATACCAGAGTAGAGAGACAGCAAGCATAGCTGACTGGCATGTGCTGATCATTTGAAGGAAACATCGTATTGCTGTTACATCCCTATTTCCCAACAATGTGACAGTGTCCATAGACCTTCAGTATGAATGTCGGTGACTGATTTCAGTGTAATCGTTATCCTAACAACCTTCTTCCTGGCATGACTATCAATCATATATAGCAGTTATCATCAATTAGTTGGTGTTACTAGCATTCTGCCCCCCAATCTAACCTCTTTCTTTGCGACTTACCATATCAGTTTGTAATCTAAGCTGAGGTTGAATTGGGAGAGTGCGTCAGGAAACGCGCTGTATTATGATCTCATGCCTCTTTTATCATCATATAAGTCTATTTTGAATGGTATACTGAATCTCTCTCTATAAAAGTTTAACCTTGAATTTGTTTTCTTTTAGTGGTGTGGTGTGTAAGCAAAAAGTGTGGATATGTATGGAAGGTATCAATTTTTTTTTATGAGTTTTAAATCCATTAATGTTTCCTTATTGTTACTTTTTTCCCCTCGTTGATTTGAGTTGATTTTGAGCTTTCGTCTGTTTGCGTTCTTCTTCTCCTGCGGTGGATGTACTCAATTTAAGTTGTAGTTGTCTAGTTACTCTAATTTATTCGTTTTTCGTTGTTGTCGTTCATCATTCTTTTTTTTTAATTTGTTCCTTTCCCGACTACCGCCTACTCATCTAATCACTTACTCATTCTCTATTTTAGCTTGTCGACTCAACTGTCTCTGTACAACCTATGCTTGTTGGACATAATCGTGTCTATTATCATACAACAACAACACAACCGATTCGTGCCTGTGAAATTCATGTAGACTCAGATGATGATGATGCTCCAGATTGGTTACGTCAACATTATCAGCGTAAAGTGGAAGAATTCAGTGATGTAAATCAGGTGAGTCTGTTCTCTGCGTCTGCCTTCCTCCTGCCCACTCTGTCGCTCTCTCTCTGTTTGTCTGTCTTTTATGACAGGCAGCTTATGTTTTACAATTATTTGGGTAATAGTAATACGGAAAGTTTTAGACAAAAACTGGCTGCATTCCATCCTGCTGATCCTGTTTTATATTTTCATGACCTTTGCTCTCTCTCTCTCTTTCTTGTTTCTAGTTTACATGTCATTTGAAAACACCTCAGTGATATTCCCACTTAAGGTTAGAATTCATTTGTCATTAAATTCCACTCCAAGTGATTGACTTTTGGTCAACAAGCTGTTCCGTCTTTGTTTGGAACTCTTTAACAGTGTACACCCATGATCCCACTCCTCCGGGAATCGAATCCATGACCTTTTGTGTACGACACCAAATGTGTCGACCATTCAGACACTTGAACGGGAATCCAATAGTGATCTGTGGATTCTTACCATGTCAACTAATAATATTTATCTTCCTCTACCTCCAAGACCTTCGAAGGCACCATCCTTGATATGATGGATCCCTTGAGTCACGACTTCTCATTACAGTTTCAGGAACATGTTGACCACTTCACCTATTTGGGAAGTTGTATTAGCACCAACGGACTGATTGGCGACAAAATCTCAGCACGAATCCAAAAAGCTCGAGCTGCTTTCGCTGACTTACACCATCTCTGGCGTAGGCGTGACATCCGGTTATCAACCAAGGGACGTGTGTACTGCTCATCAGTTCGCTCCGTCCTTCTCTTTGGCTCTGAAACATGGCCAATACGAGTTGAAGACATGAAAAGGTTGACTGCTTTCGATCATAGATGTCTACGATCTCTTTCTCACGTTAGGTGGTTTGATAAGGTAAGTAATGTTGACGTTATGAGGCGTAGAGTATTGGGCAAAGAGGCAAAATCAATCGACGAGGCAATAAAGTTACATAGATTGAGATGGTTAGGTCATGTGCTGCGCATGCCTAACCATCGCCTCCCCCGACGGGCATTGCTAGCTGATATAGGTGCAGGTTGGAAAAGAGCCAGTGGTGGCCAAACGAAAACATGGCCTCATCAATCCATGAAATCCTTGACAGTTAAACAACTGAGTCAGCATGTAGGGAGATGCAGACTCCCGGGTTGGGGCCCTCGGGACTCTAGGAATCAATGGCTGGAGACAATAGGTGACATGGCTCAAAATCGTTGTCAATGGCCAGTGCAGATGTATTCAGTCTCTGTAATCTTTCATATTCCTTTCTACCATTACCCATTCTGTTTCACTCTTATACTTGTCAGACTGTATTGATTCTCTTCACTCAACTTCTTGTCTACCTTTGTGTGCTATTTGGAAGGTGGCAACTGGAACTGGTGCACATCGGTGCCCAGTTCTATGTTAAATCTAGACAGACAGACAGTTTCAGGACATCCATCCGGTAGCCGTCACTTCGATGGAGATTTGTTAAATTTCCGTTGTGAGGTTTCATATAACGAACCAATATCAGTTAAAGAGATTATTAAAAACTTAGCAACAACTGAGCATCTCCTTCACCCTAATTTGAAACTCCTCAAATACTGCACACCCATGACCCCACCATTAAGGGAGGGGTCCAATCTGGTATCCTGAAAATACAAGGTGGGTTAGTTGACCATTCAGTCACGTAATTAGGAATTTAATGACCTGATAATTTAAATATCAATCTTCAGGTCATTGGTGGCTACTGGATAGATGTCCTAAAGCTATTACTGAAAAGTCGTGACCAAAAGGATCCAAGATAGAGTGGCGTTATATCGTAACAAATTGTCCAGGTTCGAATTCACCTGTCGCTGAATTCCATTCCAAGTGGTTGAATGACCAAGGGACAGGCTATCGTAATCTTCTGGAAGTCCCAAGTTCGATCTCTAACAGTAGTGTCATGGCGTACACTGATGAAGGGTCTCGAACTGGAACGAAACATACGTCCGGTGCCCCTTGTTGATTTTAAATGATTTAAAAGGACTAGTGTTGTAAAACTCAGTCAGCTCGTCACTAAATTAGTAGAAAGACCTCTGAATACATGCGAAAAATGGTCTAAAACCATACTCTCCGACCCCCAACACCCCCCTCTATACCCAACTCTCTCCTTGCATCTCATCAGGTAGAACCAGAAATCAGTACAAAATAATATATGCTCGTACAACCAAGTACAGGAACTCAAAGATACCATATTTTGGCCAGCCCGTGTTCTAAGTGACAGAGACAATGTTAAGCGGGAAACCTATGTCTGTCTGTCTGTTTTCGACATAGAACTTTGCACAAATGTGCGGAAGTTCAAGTCGCCACACTCCGTGTAGCACGCGAAGCAAGAGAAGAAAGTACAAGGAAAGCATAATCGAAACAGTGAGCAGAGGTGTGAGACAAAGGAGTAATAAAGAAATACAAAACAGTTTCATTGAAGATCAAAAGTCACAAGGAGTGGATGCATCTGCGCCACTGAGAACGATTTTGAGCCATGTCACCAATTGTTTCCAACCATGGATTTTTACCGTCCCGAGGACCCCAACAAGACAGGAAGTCTACACCTTTCTACGTGGCTTAGACCAACTGTCGTGGATTTCATTGACTGGTGCCAAGTTTTTGTTTGACCGCCTCTAGCTTTTTTCCAGCCTGACCATATATCCGCTAACATTGCTCGTCGAGGGAGGCGATGGCTTGGCATACGTAACACATGTCCTAACCATCTCAGTCTTTGTAACTTCACGACTTCGTCGATTGATTTCCCCTGTTTACCTAGCACTCTACGCCTAACCTCAATGTTGCTCACCTTATGACCTATGACTTGCTTTGTTCTTGATTACATAATTCTGGCTCTTGTATTTCTCTCTTATTCTCTCTTATTTGTACTCAATAGTGAAGAGCCTTCTTAAACATACTTAGCTACCTAAAATTATTATCATTGGCTTACTTTTTTGCTCTTTATTCTATTCCTACTTTTGTGTATCTACTGGTCCCGACTATACTATCACTATGAGTAGTACAAAATTATCGTGCCTATAACCTTCATGTAATATAAGTTTTGTGATTAGTATTTTTTTGTCCGGCAAAATTAAACTGACAATCTTGGTTGTGAACGCTGTTGTCATCATGCTAAAATTGTTGTATTATGCATGATTACTCACACTACCACAACAAACACTGCATTAGTGCTCACAATAAAAAAAACCTGAAATGTTTATTTTATGATTGTTTGGTGTTGTTCAATCAAATTAACTGATCATCTTGGCTATAAACATTCTTAAATATCATTTCATAACTTTTTGCATGATTATAGCTGTCACCGTTCACCACGCATACACATATCATAGCTTCCACTACCCAATACTGAAATATTATTCATTATTGGTGTTTGTTTGTCTTCCTTTCTACTTGGCTTCTTTTTTGGTATTTTTGTGTTTTCTTTTTTGCTTTTTGTTGTTGTAATTTTTTTCATATTTATTTTTTGTAATACTCATTTTAAATGTGCGATGAAATTAGATGCAGTATTGTAGATATGTGTGCTGAAAATTCCACACTGTACCACTAGTACTGTTTCTGGAATAAAAGCGAAATTATTATTGTTATTATTATATTAGTTTGTGACGGAACCTACATTGAGGTAAGTTCTATCTGTCGTATGTATCATCGTCCGAGTAAAATAAATAATGCGTACATAACACTCTATGCCTAACCCCTGAATATTTCTCACTATATGAGATAACACTTAACATATGAGAGATAGAAAGCAAGTATTTGTGGTCAAAGATAGCTAAACGTTCGCAAATCTCCCAGTTTTATTAATTATGCTTCATAGGCATAAAGGAGCACACACACACACATCCTTTGGCCTGAAAGATGACGTAGGCCTAACAAGTGCCAATTAGCAATCAGTCAATTGTGAGAGTTTGGGGGAGGCCGGTTGGTGATGCAACTTCCCAAAACAAATGAAATGGCCACAATCGTCAACTACTTCCTCTTCATATTGGTTCACGGGAAGTCGGTGCGAACTGGTAGGCAAACATTCGATTATTTCCTCTCAAATTGCTTTAATGTGGCCTGGTAATCAAGTAAGTACTATTTAACTGCCTTCACGTACGTGGCCGGAGTAGAGTGGGGGTGACTCGCACAAAAGTGAAATGAAAGAAAAATTTGAAAATATGGCGCTTTTCAACGGGACTATTGGGTAGGAAAGAGTGGGGTTGGAAGAAAAACATGCTGCAGGTCTACTCTACTGCGTTGTGGAGTAGTGGTAGCTAGAAAACCTTGATTTTAAATCCATGGTGTGTGCGTGTGTAGATAGATAGATGGGCTGCAGAATTCGGGAAAGATCAAACACTTTATAAACCTGTTATGATCACCAGAAACTATGAACACGTAATGCTTAACGGTACTTTCACTGACTTGTGAAGCAAACTTGAAATGTGAAAGGCTCTTGAAGGGAGGGCAGGTGAAAGACGTGTGTGACCCTTTAAAGAAAAACAATCACTTGCATTATTCTGGGCGTGTTTCATCTTCTGAAATGGTGAAAAACGATTATTATTATTGTTTTCTCCTTTAATTCCTAGAGGAACATTGGGCTTCAGCCACACGTCTCCATTGCGTTCGGTTCTCTGCTAAAGTTTTCACCTGGTCCAAGTCTGCCCACATGCTTTCACCTCCTCTTCACATGACCTCCTTCAAGTCACCCTCGCACTGACAACCAACTCGCCGCTTCCCTTTCGGTCGGGTTCCACTCGAGCAATGGCTTGTCTAGTGATGTCACTTGATGGTTTCCTCAGAGTATGCCTAATCCATCTCCATTTCTTCCTGTGTGCATATTTGTTGCACAATCGGTTCCTGGTTGGTTGGTTCGCCCCCAGAGACCCCTTTTGATGAAGGTCTGTAGTTTATTTGAGATGCTGTTTATGACGCCCCAAGTCTCTGATCCGTATAGTGGGTAGCCCTGACTTCACATTGGAGTTGAAAATCCGGATGTTATTTTTGATGCTGAGTGCTGTTGACTTCGACACAGACTTAAGAGTAATGAAAGCTTGTCTTGCTTTTCCGATTCTGGCTTTGATATCCTCGTCAGTTCCCTTCGCCTATAGTTGAAACGATGCTTCCGAGGTCGGTAGATAGGTAGGTGAAGGGGGTTGTTTCTGTTGGTGTTGGCCAGGAATCTTCATCACCTCTGTTTTCTCTATGTTCACCTGAAGCCGTGCCTATCTTTGATGCTTCTTCTTCGGCCAACTTGTTGCTTTTCACTTGCATATCTTCCAGTTTGTAGGAAATCAGACATATATATCATCGTTGGCAAAGTCGAGATCCTCCAAGTTTTTTGTGAGGGTCCATTTTATGCCTTCACAGGCAGGGGTGTGAGGCTAACAACCCCACCCTACAAAGAAAGTTGCTACAGTAACTTCAGCACGATGAAAACGATTGAGTGTGTTAATCATATATGTGTATATGGATTTATTATTATTATTATTATAATTATTATTACTATTACCCTATTGTTCTGAGCCACACTCACTTACTCATCCATTCATTGATTCATACTTGTTTTTATGTTTTCTATCCTCAGGGAGAAATCAAAGTCATGGAATTATGGAATTATTTCCTATTATCTATTCGTCCATCCATTTTAATTGTTAGTGATATTCAAGTAGCAATTTTAACATGTCAATTCATTCATAAATATTATCGTTTAATACATTCACGTCGATTACGTGCAAACCTCATACTACACTTAAATAATCTTATCGATTATGGTTTATTATCATGTGAACATTTATTTTACTTAATACGGATATATGATCAATTTGTTATGAATGCTACATCAAAAAGTTTCCTGCAACAGAATCAACTTGTTGCTGATAGTAGTATTCAAGCATTATCAGCATTATTAACAGCATCAGGATCAGCATCATCGTCGTCCTCGTCTTCGTTCTCGTCGTCGATGTCGATATCATCATCTTTGTGGCCATCACCATCAGCAACAAAAAGAACACCTCCGCCTTCGTCTCTGCCTCTGTCTACTGCGCTGATTAAACCTGAAGAATTAAATCATCATCATCATCATCATGCGAATAGTAATAATGGTCATAATAATAATAATAATAATAATAAACGTAGAGAGATGAGAATTCCACCGCCACCGGTGTTCGAGGCATTGAGGATGTCGTTCACTTCATGAGGTGTGTTATGCTGTGCATCAAGAGGAGTAATAATAGTTGTCATAATAGCAGTTAGTTGTTGTTGTAATTCTTCAGTGGTAATACTACCGGTTTCTCAATGAACCAAAAACAGTTAATGATGTACCTACCCTCTTCTTTCTATATGTATATGTGTGTGTGTATGTTTGTACGTATTTGTCCGTGTGTGTTGTGGTGTGGTGTGGTGTTATTCCGAGAGGAGGCGCATTGTTTAAAGAATGAAAAGAAACTATAGATATCTATCATTGCTCAAGGATTTCTTCTCTTCTCTTGTGTTTTTACTTTTAGAATATTAACACTATGTACTAAAATGTTTATTTTTGATGACTTTTTATATATTTTTTCCTTTAAAAATTAGGATTATTGTTGGATGTTTGGTTGCTGATGGTTGACCGGTTTGTTGGTTGGCTGGCTTTGCTTTACACTGTCTTTTATATTATACTTCCACGTCACATTCACCCACTCATTCAGTCAGTCAGTCTTCTCTCTCACTCTCTTTATCCTGTAGACTTCTTTTTTTATTGTGTTATATTCAATAATCGGACCTGATTTCGACCTTCAGGACTCCTTGATGAAGAGGGAGGAAGCAGTGTTGTTCTTGTGGTTGTGGTTGTTAGGTATTATTATTAGTTGATAAATTCCCTTTTCCTCTTTGTATGTGTTTGTGTGTGTGTGTCGGTATAAACAGTTTTTCAATGTTAATTTACGATTGATGATTATGTGAAACTGCTAGGCGTATGTTTGCCTAGCTTTGCCCTAGTTACTGTTAAATTCACCTTAATTCCTTAATAGTGTGTTTAATTTTATATGTGCCTTTATTTTCCGTCGTTTGATTCTTAATCCATGTTTGAAAATATTGATGTCATTGATGCGGAGAAAGAGGAGGTGCTGGCGCGGGGTGTATAAGGTCGGTTCGTTGGTTGATTGATTGATTGATTGATTTGGAGGGGCGGGGGAGAGTGGACGAGTGATCCCCAGATTATGTCATGTCTTGTGTTTGTTAGTGTTGGCTGATCTGAGGAAACTAACCAACTAACTATCCAACTAGCCAATTATTCTAAAATTAGTATTCTTAAAGTTTTCCTTTGACTATTTGTATTATTTGTAATTACAAAGTATTATTATTATTATTATACGTATATGTGTTGAATAAATGATTAAATCAAAGGCGTTTTTGTTACTATTATTATCGTTATTATTACTAGTACTACCATTTTTGATATATTTTAGGATTTTTTCTTGAGAACTTCACCTTTTTTGGCAAGTTCCCTTCGAGCTTCTCTTCTCTCTTTATGTATGTATATCCTCAGATGTTTTGGGGGGTGGTGTGTCTGTGTTCCCTTATGTGCTTACAAGCTGGTGTCCAGTTATACTGAGAAAAAAAAATCCCAAGTACTACTACTATTATCTCCGCAAGCATCATCTTTGTTCAGGTGGGCAGGCAGACAGCTTCTTCGAATTACTTATAATTTACCATCTTGAACTGTTATTTAATCATTATTACCTCTTTTATATTGTTATTATTATTGTTAGTAGTATTATTTTTGATTTTTCAAACTGTTGTGCTCGATGATGATGATCGTGGCGATGGCGACAGTGCTGTTGTCAGTCTTCAGAGATATACACTACCCCCTGTGCTCTCACTGACTGTTTGAGGAGCATGTGTCTGCCACTTTGCACACTTTTTTCGTCTTGGAGCTACTTGTGTTTCTTTTCAAATCCAAGACCATATAACCCTAGGAGCGCATAATCCTAACTGACAAGCAACAGTTTTTGTGTATTATGTAATCGTCTGTCTGTGTGAGTGTGCGTGCGTGTGCGCGCACACGTCTTTGGGATACCGGTCGAGTTTGCCTTCTTTCTTATCTAATGCAAAAAATATTTGTTTTCCCTTATGATTGATTTTGTACAAGTGTGCTTAAAAAAAATAACGTGTACACCTTTATGAGTAGGTGTGATTAGGACATATTACTATTACTAATACTATTATGGTTATTATTAATTATTATCATTATTGGTATAAGTTTTCAGAGATAGGATTTTTCTCAAATACAAAAGAGTTGTTTACACACATACATACACACACGTAAATATTGTTTATTCTATACCTACCCGTGTGTTTATTTAGGATTTCAAAATTCCTTCAGTTTACTGTCTGTCTGCTTGTGCGTTTGTAACTAACTAACTAACTAACCAAACTAATTAGCTAACTCAAAATGTCGGTAGGGGATTTTATTCCCTATTGTTTGTCCCTTTACACTTCCCTCGTTTTGTGTGTGTGTGTGTTTGTGTACGTGTGCGGGCGCATGTATTTAAAGTCCGCCCACCCCTCTCCCCCGACCACCACTGCATACTTCTCTCCTCCCTTGTATTCCTCTTCGCCATTTTGCATTGAACGCTTAGTTGTTTCATTCCCCCCGATTCCCCTCGCCTCGCCTCGCCTCGCAGCAATCGCCACCTCTTCCTACCTGTATTCGTTAATTTAAAAAATAAATAAAATATCAGAAGAAAATAAGAAGAAACAATTTTGTTGGCAGCGTTGTATTGTATCTATGTATATTTTATTTTCCAAGGGATGTAAACTGTTGTCTTTTCTTTCTTTCTTTCTTGTTTTTGATTTCTTAAAACCACCTCCCTTTCTCTCTCTCTCTCTCTCTGAAATAGTAATAATAACAATAATTATAGTCATAATAATGATAGGCGTTTCTTTACGTCTGTCTGTCTGTCTGTGCACAATTACACGACAACTTGAGTGTATGTATGTGTGTGCGTGGGTGTTTCGTAATAGTTCTCTTTTCTAGACATTTTTCTATTATTATTATTATTATTCATGTTTATACAAAGAGTCTCTATAGTATATATCTATACACACATATAGACATATATTATATGCATAGGTTTGTTAGTGAAATATAAAAATTATTGTGCTCTTGGTGTTTTTGTACTTTTTCGCTTTTTCATTTTATATATGTATATGTGTAGTTTTTGTTTTCTTATGGATTATGCGTGTTGTATTGTTACTACACTGTCTTGTTGTGAGTGAGTGAGTGAGTTAGTTAATTAGTTAGTTAGTTAGTTTTTCAGTAGTTGTGAGTAGTATTGCTTCTCTCTGCTTTGTCATTTTCCCTCTCTGTCTGTTCAATAATTAATCGGGGGACGGAGGGGGGGAGATGGTCTCGTCATCGACTTAAAAATATGCAACTACACAGAGGATTTCATCATAAGCTGATATCAGTTAGAGAACCATTGGAAAACCAGTGGTTCATCTGTTTCGTCAGCCTAGTTTGGGACTATTCAGCAGTACCCACCCATCACCAGTGTCCGAACCCCAGGATCTTCTGATTACAAGGCAAGCTAGCTCGTGAACCATTGAGCCCCTTGGACCAGATCCAACGGTCCTTGAATTCTCAATTCTGCCAATTCACGACGTCGCATAGCGCTACCATTTCGTAGTGTCTTCTTCGATGAGTTAGTGCCTCTTAGGTGTGATGATATTGATATGTATGGTATATGCGATTTGGTGCCTGTCAAAAGTGCTAATCTACAACTGGTTTGCAACGATTCATAGTGTAATTATAAGGGTGGCGAGTGATACCGTTCAATGGATTGTGAAGACTTCAATGCTAATCGACTGGTTGCTACTAGGGATGGAATTTCAGTATGAATACAAAATGTTTGTATGACATTTTTCCAAATTACATCACCTTTAGTTTGTATATGATATATCTGGTTGTCGATCAATGGAGTGAGTCAGTGAGTGCGTACTGCGTAGTCGTTCACCCTGTTCCCTGATTATGGCTGTGAAACATGATCATTGTAATTAGAGGACTTAGGAAGGTTGATTTTCCCAGAATGCATATATTTGCATTCTATCCGCCGTGTGTTAGGCGGTACGATAGAGTGACTAATAGCGAGGTTAGGCGTCAAGTGTTGCGTAATGTTTGTAAGTTAGATCGATGAGGTTATGAAGGTGGGTCGTTTGATGAAGTGTCTAGGACACGTGTTGCACATGTCGAACGATCACCTTCCTCGACGAAGAACTTTAGCTGACATTGGATTAGGTTACAAAAGAGGTAAAGGTGGTAACACCGTAACCAGTCAGTCACCAATTCATGAAATCTTTGATATTTGGTTGGAGATTTTAAGAAGCGATGGCAAGAGGACTGACTTGAAAATATGGCTCAAAATTGTTCTCACTGGCTTCCATTCATTTTGATCTCCCATATACATTAATCTGTCATGTTTGTTGACCACGTAACTGTATTTTTTTCGCCTCACATTTCTGTGCATTGTAGCTCCACCTTTATTATTATTATTTCCCTTAATTCCTAGAAGAATATAGGGCTTCAGCCAAGCGTCTGCATTGCATTTGGTTCTCTGCCAACGTTTTAACCTGGCTCCGTGCGTGCCCACATGCTTTCATATCCTCCAAGTCACCCTCGCACTGATGACCAACTCGCCGCTTCCCTTTCGGGTTCCACTCGAGCGATGGCTTGTCTAGTGATGTCGCTTGATGGTTTGTTTTTCAGATTATGGCCAATCCATCTCCATATCTTCCTGCCTATTTGTTTCACAGTCGGTTCCTGGTTTGTTTGCTCCCAGAGATCGCTGTTGCTGAGCTTTTTTGGTCGGCTGAGTGATCTTGAGTAGTATTGAGCGAAGACAGCTGTTAATGAAGGTCTGTAGTTTGTTTGAAGTGCTCTTCATAACGCACCAAGTCTTTGATCCGTATAGTGGGTAGCACTGACTTCAGATTGGAGTTGAAAATCCGGATGTTATTTGTCATTCTGAGTGTTGTTGACCTCCACACAGACTTGAGAGTAATGAAAGCTTGCCCTACTTTTTTATCCTCGTCAGTTCCTCCTGTAGTTGAAACGATCACTCGGAGGTCGGTAGATAGGTATGTGAAGGAGGTTGTTCCTTTCAAGTCCCTCACATTTATGCGGATTGTAGTCTGTTGTTGTTGCTTTTACTGTTGGTG